TCGTCGCTGTCATTGAAATTGTCTTGGCTGACATCGTGTTTTACAGGGCTTAAATGAAGCTCTTCGTCAATGTGGCTTTTGAGTTTCACAGACAAAACCTGAGATAGAGCAAGCAATACATTTGAAACCTGTAAAATAATCCATTGGCAAAAAATTGCTTGCAAAATAACTTTTTATATAACAGTTAGCTGGTTTCACTGCAAAATTAATGTAGACAGTAGGCACATAAAGTCCAATGAAACTTCTTTAGTATTTTTGCAACAATTATTTCCCTTCAAAGAGACATCTCTTGCAAGAAAAGTAAGCACGTGAATTTGTCAACTAAAATATTTCCTAACAATTAAACAAACATAACCTGCTAAAGATTTTTAAGAATGATTTGAATGAATAACACAAAAAATCATGGGCTCACGTTTTGAATTGCCTGATACCTAGATAACGAATTTTCAAATTCTTGCTTTAACTTATTCTGCTGGAGTTTGTTTTGCATCTGGAAACAAAGAAAAAAAGTAAAGCATGTTGGTAAGTGCATTGAATTCTGAAGATGATCAATAAACAAATAAACAAATAAAGAGATGTAAAAAAGAAATGGACTTGATTGATTAAAGTAAACTGCTTCCATGATTTAACTAAAAAAACTCCCATTCATATCAGTTTACCAATAATGATAATTTCATGATAGTTTAATTGATAGCATGCAAATTTTTCAATATTCTTATTTGAAATGAAGGACAGACAATGGAATGATGAGAACATGACATTTGATAGCTGTTAGAACATACAATATTTATGGAAAAACAGCAAACATGATAAAACACAGACGCAGCCAGAATCATTTAGTAAACTTAATGGAATCTATGTATAATCTACCACAGCGATGTCACCAGCCCATAAATCTGTGATCGACAAAAAAGTCTCCTGACCACGCCCTTCAGACTCTCGAAAAACGTGGGAAACGCCTTTTTAGTATTTTTATCTGTTTTGAAGCTTTTTGGAAACAAACTTTCTCAAGCAGCTTTTTTCATAGCAAGGTATTTTTACAAAAACATAAATAAAAAATTGATCTGATCAACCAGCTCTCCCTCTCAAGGTTTTACAACAGATTTCGAGAAAATTTAGCTTCGAGAAAACTCCAGTGGACATCCTATTCCACCTTTTGATGAGGCCACTGATCTACCATAATACTTTATTAAAAAAAGCTTGCATTAGAGGAAAAACAAAATAGATTATATACCAAAAGCAGTGCTAAAAAGTGATGTGTCATATGAAAGGTAACTTATTCACTTTAAGAAATTTCACTTGACCCAAAGCCAAAACAAAAACAAGTGTTAAAAGGCACATCAGTTTTGCAGAACCATAGGAAGGATAAAATTATTTGGGGGCACCATTGTTTGAGAGCAGTAGACACAAAAGGAATTGGGGGGCTTTTGTCTCTAAAAAAATTAACTTCTGCTGTAAGTGGTCAAAAAATGTATAAATTAGGCTTTAGTGTCTGTGTGCAGATGCATTAACTAAAACATGTGACAAGGATTTAAAGAAAGTAGATAACTAACCAATTTATTTCCTTGTGGATCAAACCGGTAATTGGTTGGTGAGCTGATATATTCTGACATTAGCTTGAAGTTGTTCTTTGCAGCTTTTGCCAGCTTGTTTGTTTCTTGTGACACTGAGTGACTATATGAGTGAACAATCAAGAAAAAATTATTTGAAAACAAAATGACAACCCAAGATCTATCTCTAATGACTGATTTGTTAGCTTAATTTTTTGGCAGTAAGAAATATGAAAATGACTTTGAAGAAAGCAAACATCTTATAACATAACAAGGGGCCCAAAATGAAGTCATGCTGGCATGAAAATTTGGTAAAATTTGCTCACCATCACACGTTATTCACAGCATGAGTTTCGTTTCGGGTTTCATGTAAAGGGCATCTTAAGCTCATAATATTGCATTCCCTCACCCCCCACCATCAGGAGTTTACCAATAATAAAAAAACCAAGAAAAAAAGCATCTTGTATACAAGAAAATGCAGAAGCCTCCCAATTTCTGTTATCATTAGATAGGATTTTCAGTGTGTCTTTTATACTGTTGCATTGATACTTTACAGACCATTGTTAATTTTATTAGCTTTATATCATTATTAGCTTATATAAGTGTGTAATCTAACAAATTCCTAAGCATTCTGATAGGAAGATTACGATTTTCTTCCACTTGCAATAATAATGATTGCTTGTTGTATCCCGTATATGTTATACTAAGAGAATTTGTAAGGAGCTAGTTAGGCAGATGCCAAGGGGCCCAACATTTTCTTCGTTATAAAAGGATATTAATTATCTGGTTTTCATAATATCAGGATTTGGCTGTAGATTAGTCCTATGAATATCTGAGAATTTTTTATTTAATCCACAATCTTGACAAGGTGTTCAGCCTCTTTTAAGCTGCATGAAGTAATGGTACTAAGGACAAATAAACATTAAAACCCGTCTCAAAAACCCACAAAACCAATAATTAAGAACTTTCCACTCAAAACAAAAAAAGGCACATAATATTTTGCTTTACTGAAAAGCAGTTGGTGTATGATAAGGGGTGCACAAGCAATCACATGCCTCTTTGACAAAAACCTGAATCATTTAACTTAAAATGGGTACTGGTATAATGGAGAACTTTGATTAAATTTGACAAAGAAAATCAGACTTGATCTCATCTCGCAACTGAATGTGTAAATTTGAAAAACTAGATATTCAATGTACAATAGAAAAAAGCGCTACGTGAAAAACAAAGAAACAAACAAACAAACAAAAAATAAAATAACAAAAAGATGGATGAGTATTAGATACTACATAACTATTATGGAATTTCGAAAACTTACATTTTGTCCTCAGCATCTTGAGACTTGGATTTTGCTTGAAATAATTTGGAGGTACTTTCCAAGACCGACACTAAAAATTTTAAACAGTGAGCTTAATACTGAGCAATTTGTTGATAGAATTTCTCTAAATTAATCAGTGCATCTTTTAATAAACATAAATTCCTATGAAAATAACAAATAAATACAAATTATGTTTGGCTTTGGTCGAGTCAATATAATTCTTTGATGACTTTATTATCAATATATGACTAAGTGTTGAAATAGGGTTTTGCTGTTAATAAATTCAAGCAAAACTATATATCCTAAACTCTGCAAAGTTTGCATGTAATTATACAAGCTTAAAGTCAGAAAAAAAACTCAAAATGGTGACGCCAACTGCCAAGACAAACTATGTATCAAATCTTTTTATACAATTCTGTGGTGTCCAGTTAATTTGGGCCCTAGCTCTGATTTTGAAGCGTTTCTTTCATTTGAAGCTACTACTTTATTATTCAATTTGCAGTGAATACTCTTTAGGATATATATAAACATTTTCTTTTTTAGAATTCCCCTCAATTCAGAAGAGACTCTCTATCCGCAAGTGCGTGATAAACTTCTCATTGATGGTATGAAAGGGAGGGGGAGAATATGGTTAAAGCGTTGACGACTTTTACTTTGAAAAGTAATTAAATCCCGGGGTTGTCAAATTTTAACATGGATACTGTTGTACATGATATATAAAGTAATGAACAGTATTACCAGAAGACCAAATCTACAGAGATCAGACATTGCAATGTTTACATTCTAGCGGTGTAAAAACAAAATGTATGTAAAAAATTTCTATTTTGTCTTACCATTTTTATTTATCCTGAATATCTTGTTGCTTGTATCATTAAATATTGACTGGAAATTATCTACAAAAATAAGAACCACTGGTATCAACCTATGATCTTTTTTGCTAATAGATATAATCATAATTACCAAAAAACACCTTCCAGTCAGATCAAATTAAAGAAATCCATTTTTCAATCTCACAATGTAGGTAATTAATTAATTAATTAGGTAATTAATTAATGTAGGTAATTAATTAGTAAGGAATGAAAATTGTTGAATTTTCATTAGTTACTCTTTAATGGTGTCAATGAAATAGCTTGATGATATCCCTAAATAGAAAATCGGGTCATCTTAAAAGCTATTGTAGCTTTCTGGTTCTCAATTTTACTCCAATCCTTACTCCCCTGGAAAAAGCATCCCCAGAAAAAAAATGCCTCCACAAAGCCATCATAAATTTAAAAGTACCCTGGGTGCTTTTTTAAAGGAGAGAAATATCTACCAATTACTGTCTGCCTTCTATGAAAAAGTTTTTGAAAGGGTGACAGGCCTGAGTGGGATGTCATCAAGCATGTCCGCAAAAGAGAGACAATTGAGAACTAAGTGATTTGAACCCAGACCAAGGTCAAGGATTGGTCTCATCCAGGTTTCTGGGTATTCATGTATCACATGTTTTCTGGTGAGAGGATCTGCATGCACATTTAAGGTCAGATGATATGATATTCTTTCATGATTGTTAAGTTTTTTCTGCACAGGGAACCCAAGAATAATAATTTTGAAATTTGCGGATAAGGAACATTCTCGGCAAAATCCTCCACAGAATTTGAAGCAAAGGTTTTCGAGGAAACCTTGCATTTTTTGCTTTTCTTGTCATAAGAAGTCAGAAGTTTAAATGGTGGTATTTTCTCGGGGAACATGACCAGAAAAACAAATATTGTGTGTGGAATCTACGGGCAGATTCAGAAAGAAGGGTAAAAATTATTGACACGTTCCCGGCACAGACCAAACTTTTCAGTCTGGTATTCTTTCTGGGATCTGCTATGTAGAAGGTATCTAGACATTGGCCTTCGTTTGGCTGCACAAACTTCCTTTATCTTATAGGTAATATCATGCAAAAACTAAGTCTGAAATTGGCTTTCCTGTGCAAATATGAACATTTTCAGACTTGCATTTTGATGGCACAGCCAAGGTGCTAGAAGCCCTGAGCTATCTCTGGCATGCATGAAATGAGTACTTTGGCCAGAAAATATTTTTTAAATTTCGAGTAACCTCGCCAATTTCCAACATCGATATCTCACATGACCGACCAATCACTTTGGACAACATAAATATGTTTTGCCATACAGAGACCGCAATATTTTGTCTTCTCGGTTGAAATAAAGAAATTAAGCCGACGCCAGCTGTGTTTAATGTGTTTTAATAATATGCCAGTAAAAGCTTTAGAAGGGGTTAAAGAAAACCTTTTAAAAGCATTATCGATAGAAATGCCGTTTAACCGAGCCCTGGTAATTTCGATGATCTGAAATGTGAAATAGGACATCAATATAACACACACACAAAATATATAACCGTAAATAGCTGCCGTACCAATGCCGCTTGGTCGTTGGTATGACGCACCGACTGTAGCGCCATATCCAAAATCCCCCTTACTCATGATTTATGTCCCTTTTCGACTTCTCGATGATCTCGGCGCAGCTTTTCACGGAAAAATTACTGTACCTCTGTATGTTGCCATTTTGTCTTGTACCTCCCTCTACTACCGTATCGGAAACAGGGCGCCGAGAGATATTTGATTCGTCCTGCGCAGCGGCAACACCACCGAACAAAATATACATAGTTCACTTCTCGGAATCAAATTCCACTTAAAATTGCTCAAAATTACAAAATTTTGATAATTCAAATAAAAATTGACTTCCTCTAAAATTCTCTTAATTTCCTTACGTTAACAGTAATTCAGACAATAAAGAGATCTGAACTCAAAGGGAATGCTGCAAAGATTTTGCATCGAAAAATAGCCAGTCTATAACAGAAGTAAATCCACGAACGCAGCATTGAGGATGTCTATGATTTTAATCTTAAGGGCAGAATGAAGATGAGCCCATGACATTGGGGGTAAACAAATGGAGAGAGTGAGACGCATCCCCCGGGAGATATGAACAATCATTTGACAATAAAATTTCAGATAGTGCTACCTAAATTCTTCCCTGTCTTTCAATTTAATCGTTGTACACGTTTCTTTTAAATAAGAAAGTTTTTCAGCCCAGCCCTCAGATTTTCTCAGCTATTTTCTAATTTCAGCACTAAAGCTTGCTTAACACTTTCTTAACGTAAAATTGGAAAGTTTTACGTTACGAAGCATGCGCAGTGATGGAGAGGATGAAATGCTATAAATATGCTATATTTCTCAAAAACCCTCAGCCTCGTACTGTATTCGTCGTTACCAGTGGCGTAGCGTGACTTTTTCAACTGGGTATTCTCTATTAAACAAAAGGGTGGGGCAGGGTGTGGCTTGATGGAAATAGGAGGGATAATAGAAGGATTAAAAGGACTAGCTATTGACAATTTATCTAATTTTCTTTCTGGTTCGGTTGGCAAGTACTGCACTGTCAGGGCATTACTATGATGAAAACGATACTTTGCTAAAAAACTCAACGCAAATATACTCTTCGAACTCATTCATTGCATCAAAATACCACTAACCATTTCATCAAAAGTAATTCAAATCAAAACGTATCATTGAAAGTCAGTAAAATTTTGCTAGTCGAAATATGTCCCAACAGTTGTTGTTGAATCCTCTAAAATTTGCACTGATTTAAAGAGGAAGTAACTGTAAACACCTTCTCTTGATACCTTAATACAAAAGGGCTTTCGAAAGTTATTCACATAGGGCATTACACGAGTTATAGATATTTTGTGGTATGCAGTGGATGCAGTCTAGACATTTTCTTCATGGCTTAATCGTGATATTTTCAATACAAGTTAATGATTGAAAGAATCGAAGGTAATGAGACGAGACTGCACAATAAAGCAAATAAATGGGCTCGAATAATGCAAACAAAATAGGCCAACAATATAAGTGAATGCACCAGGCAACTATAAGGATATTATCCAGGCCTATCTGCATTTACTTTAATTCTATCACATAATACAAACAGAAGCATCCCTGATTGACAAGCAATTTCAAGAGGCACAGATCTAAGTCAGTGTAGCATTATGTAGAAGCCTACCTTTCCTTTCCACTTTGCTGTTGGTATGTTAAGATTAGGGGTCAAATGAGAGAATCATTATTAAACAGTAATACGGACATTGCAATAGCTTTGAATGAAGTCATGTTTACTGTTTTCGATGAAGATCCACCACTCCAACCGCTCCGACGTCCATTAACTGTTTATATCGATCTCAAAACGAGACTATTTTGAACCAACTTTGAGGCTGTACGCTGCATATTTCTCAGCGTACAAGACCATTGTTTTAGCTGATTAACGGCAAATATTATTCATGGAAAGGAGCATTTTGATTGGTTAAAGTACCGTCTAGGGTATTCACTGCGTATTCATGACCGATCTCCATTCAACATGAAGTAACTCAATCTTCAAAATTAGCTTCAAAGTTCTCCCAGCTTCTCTATGCTTCGCAGCGTTATTGTTTCCATGAATTTCGTGATATTTTGTACTTATACAAAATGTAGAATATCGAAGGCAACGAATTCAACCAGAATCAATAGTCCCAAAACATTTTTTAGTTATTACAATTATACGTCGTATTAATATTTTTTCTGAGAAATCTCAGGGTATTCACTGAATACCTTGAATACCCGGACGCTACGCCACTGGTCGTTACCTGTTCAGCACATTACTGTATTGTTGAAATATTTTACTCTTACATCACAATTTCTTTGAAACTTTGAAAATCTAAATTTTTCAACTTTCTTAGGTTTAAAAGACCCAGCCCTGAACTTTCTCAACTCTTTGTGGAACCGAGCACAACTTTCTTATAAAAAACTTTCTTATTAAAAAACGTGTAGAGAATGCCTTTACTTATATAACATTCTTCAATTATATCCTTTATAAAAACTCCTGGTTACGCCGCCATCAGGGACTAAAGGCTAAAAAACAGGGAACAATGCGTCCTTCCGGCAGGAAGTCTCTGATATGTTCTCATTAAAATTCACAAACATATACTGTCTTGATTGCTTTCTTTAAAAGCCGCGGTAAACTAAAAAGCCATTTCAAAGTGAGCGATTCTGTCAAGTGAGAATTGATAGTAAGGCAAGTAAGACATAGGGAGTGAAATGTGCTTCTGTGTTCATAGAAAGGTAGATTATTGAGACCTGTAAATTCATCCTCTTTCTATTGAAGATGGCCACGCCTGGTTATTCCTACATCATGAATTTCAAACAGGGTAGGTGACAGCTTTATAAAGAAATATCAGAAAACGCTAACGAATATTTGAGAGAAAGAAAACAGAATTGTAAATAATTTTAAGATCCAGCCAAAATATAAACTGTTTCATGACAAAAATTTGCTAAAAATTCCTGAAATATTATTCGATTACTATATGTTTTTTAAAGGAGGAGCTTTCTTGTTATTGTGCCTTTTATAAAATATTTTTGTTGAACTAAGGAAACGTGAACTTAGAAGTTGCCAGTGTGTAAAAAAATTCCAACCGTGCAAAATTGTATACCAATTTAAATCGTGAAGATGGATCCAATAGTTATCACAATAATAAAAAAATAGTCCGCCAATGCTAAATTTCAACGCCAGCACGCTTCCAAAAAATCCAGAATTAGGAAATCATAGATTAAACAATCACAGAAAACAAGAAAAAGATACAAAGAAAATTAATCGTGAAAACCCCAGTTTTGTCTCATGACTGAAATGTTTTCGATTACAGATTACAAAATGTATGATAGCTTCTATCTTACACGCAATTAAAATATGATATGCACAAATGAAGCGAATTAAATAAAAATAAACTGCACTCTTTCTACAAAATGAAAACGCTAGTCTCCATGAAAGGTTATGCTAAATGTTTTTGTATTATATAAATATTTGCACATGAGAACCTTCACAAAGACATGAACCGGGAGACGGGGGTGGGGGTGGTGTCACATGATCACGCACAAGGGGGGTCAAGGTAAGAGCTAAAAACTTGCCTACAATAAAACAAAATACGAAGAGAACAGTTAACTATAATCCCATTCGCAGGTAAGAGATTCTAAAATGTTGTATCAATGAAGAAGGGCCTACTGCAAATCGATTTGAATTTGTTTTTCATCAGAACAGGTCATGCAGTCACATTTTGCCAAACATTATTGCCTGACCTTAACGGAGAGCAATATTTCCTGAATCAATAACTCTATGACCGGGCAAAGTGTACTTTGCAATTTTTTGGCGGTCTCTATATAAAAAGTTCATGATTTTGAGGAGTGAGAGCAGTCGAAAGAAGGATAAAATCCGAAGAATAATCGAATGGCTAAGACTAACAAAACAACTGCTAAGATTGATATATACAATGAAGATTGAATACCCTCTAAATTACGAACTAGTCGACTAAATTCGAAAAAGGTTTGTCAAGAGCTATCGAAAATACTGGCATGCAGAAATGAGTATTAGTTTCTCTATGAAAAGTTCAGAGTCTAACATGGCAATATGAGCTGCTCGACCAATCAACGAATTGGCTGAGCTTGATATCACGTGATTGACGCTGTATCGTACAACGTTAACCTCGTTTTGAATATGAAGCGGTTTCAAGATGTTGTTGATCATTTCTCGATAAACACGGCCTACGAGAAGAACAAAATTCAAGAGTAACAGAAGGAAAGATTGTCATGAGAATTGCAAGAGGCAAATGGTATACAATTAAAGTTTCAACCGAGACATAGAAATAAATATGAAATAAGAAGGAAGTACAGGAATAAATACCTGTTTCGGAATTATCTTTCATTGCTTGCTTGCTCATCTCGATTCGGGAAGAATGAAACGGGACATAATGATCTTGAACAGAACTAACCAAAAGTACATTCTTGAAATACTGGAAGCCTATAAGAAAATACAGAGTCTGAAACTGATTTTGACCCAAATGTATTTACTGTGCTTTGATAATAACAACAACAATAGATATAGAAGCTGTTCTCGAACCAACCGACAATTGTCAATATTGACAGGCATTTTATGAAAGAGTATTCTGATTAAGATCCACGACAACTTTCCAATCAAAATAAACCAAATTAAAAATACACATACGAACAGTAGGCAAGACAAACGCAAAACGAGAAGGGACTATACAAAATAACTGAAAGACAATCTTCAAAGAAAACTTTCAAAATCACTTCGCTCTGAATTTTGTAATTGGGCTTTCCCTGCCTGTTGTTCATTGTTGTTATATCAACGAAACTTTCAGTGGATCAAGCGCACGGATTTCTAGCGCCTCCTCTATATTATATTTCGAATACTATATAAATAGGAGTGATGTGAACATTTTGTAAAGACATAAAAAGTAACAAACTTTATTGATAAGCGTGATCATATCTCCCTCACTCAAACGGCTTACCATTTGTTAAGCTGAGTCGATACATAAATGTCTCTCGTAAATCCGAGTTATCGTTTAAGGCCAACTGGGGTAGAGATCCTGTCTTTTTCCATTTCTGCATCAACCACAACCCTGGTAGTGGAATGAATCGCTTACAAAAATTCGATCAAAGAAAGTTTTGAGCATTAACGCTGAATGGAACAGGATAGCAAACGATGGGACATCGATAACAGCAAAATTAAACAATATAATATGTGAATTTATGCCGCTTGATTAATGTATGCATTTTCACCCGCTGTAAAGTGATCAGGCAAACAGAGGTGCAATCGTTGCCAAAAATGGTTGGAGCACCACAATATTCATGTTAAGATTTGACAACCCCGGGATTTAGCTACTTTTCAAAGTCAAAGTCGTCAACGCTTTAGCTATATTCTCCCCCTCCCCTCCATACCGTTCTGATTCCTTCGTTAGAGGTATTTATGCGTCCAAATCTAGTTGGACTGTCACTGCCAATCATGACACATAGATATTAATCATTATTATAACGGGGGAGAGGAAACAGCTTTTAAAAACTGGGAAGATTTTGTGATGGTGTTCCAACAATTTTAGTAAGGATTGTCTTTTCAGGTTTAGTTATCACGTTTTTGTTGATACGAACGTGACAACAGCTGCTTCTCTTGTAGCACTAGATCATTTGATCACTAGATCATTTGATCACTACATCACTTGATCGCTAGATCACTTGATCACTAGATCACTTAAGCAATAAATCACCGTAATCAATCAATCACAATGACAGCTACAGGTATGTTTCAGCAATTAATATAAAACAGGGATGTTTTAACAAACATGACACGTGTTCAATCTTTGAAATCGTTTGATGCAGTAACTCAAACAAACTCTAAAGAATGCACAAGCAAATGAGTGACAGCTAGATGAAACAAAGTCACAGAAAAGACTTCGAGACGTGTGCCATGGCTAGGAAAAACCCTTATAATTTTCTACCTGTGCTGACAAGAGAACTTGTGTGGTACAACATCCCTAGATGTGGTCCTGACAAGGACAAGAACGTGTGGAATCTGTTGCGGAACGGCAGCAACTTTGAGTGCACAGCGGCGTTTCGGATGATCACGTTGCCCAGCGAATGACCAACAAAACTAAACGAAATATTGAAGACAGGGTTATACTTAAAGAATCATGACAGGATATAAAAATTTGATGAAAAAAAGAGATTATTGATTAAAAAGAAGAAGATTTGATAACACATTACTGTGTGGACCTTGTTACAATAGTTACATATTAAAAAACAGATAATTTGCTATGAACGTTTTCTCTAAGAGGCTTTAAAAGCACCACAGTTCAATTTCCAGCCTTTCCAGCAACGTCATTGTTATATAAACTTTAATAAAATTACACAACCAATAACAAAAAGTGTCAACAAACAATTTGAAAACTAGTAAGGAAGAAATTAAAAATTGTTTCATTCTTCAATTTATGATTTATTTTTCAAACAAAGACTAAACCAAATTATAAAACTGTGTAATAGCAAGAATTATATCATATAGGGTATCAACGTGCCATAAGTGCACTTTGAAAACATTACTTGAGACTGGCTACATACTTCTATGTTCAATACATTTACGGACATCACAAAATATTACCATGAACTACCTTCAAATAAAATGCTGCAATTAAGGCACAAAATATAACGTATAAAAATAAATATGACTTGATAATTTGACAAAATAATTTATAATTCTAACGGGCCTATTCATAGCATATATAAAAGTATATATGCAAAACAATATATAAAATAAAGGTGTTTTTACAGTTAAGTTTCAAACTTGCACGTGAAGTGGGAACATATTTCAGCATTTTAGTGCAAAAATAAATAATGCATGTGACGAAAAGCGGCTACTTGTGGACGATCCTGTTTCAAAGCAAAAACTTATAGTGCAGAAAAGCATTGTTAATAAAATTTTGAAATGCAAAAAAAAAATTTTGCAGTATAGGGACAAAAGAATGACAGTAACAAAAATAATATCACCTAGCATTTCTATGTAGGTTTTCTGGTAGAAAAACGAGAAGCAAAAAAGTATTGGACATATATTAGAATCAGAATACACTTTGGTGTGTTGACCGGTTTTAAGTTGCAGTTTCCTGTTAAGTGTAATCACCAGAAAACACTGAGAACTATATAAAAGCTAGTAAGTTAGAAATTTAACTAAATATCAAATGCGATAAGATGATGAATATTCATATTTATAATTGATGCTATAAAGTTCAGTTGACTGTTGGAGCATACCTGATTTTGATTGGATCAAGATGATTCATTTCAATATGCTGCATGATTTCAAGTACTAGATTTTCAGTCAATTTATCAATGTCGCAGAAGGTATCTTCCTGCAAACAAACAACAAAAAACCTCTTGATTGATTCAACGTGCTAGATACATACAACTTTTGTAAATTGAGATCAGCTGATACAGATCATTTCAAAACCTAGACTAAGTGAAGTTTTGGTATTGTATTCTGAAGATCTCTTTTGAAATTCCACGGCCGAGAACAAAGGTTTTAAGGTTGAGATAACCACAAAATCTTGAGTAATTATCAAGGCTCTCTAATTCTCCAAGCATTGCACTGCTATGAACAACACGGCAAACAATATATAGGAAAGAAAATTCTATACATTATCATTCGGTATTTGCGGACCAATTGCAAGTAGAAATGAAAGAATTAGCTGTGTCTATAAGACAGTTACCTCAACTCACTAAATATGAGATATCTCAGTAGGAATAAAGAATTCTTTGTTTATTATTTCATCAAAGCAACAAGCAAGAACGCAAAGGAACATGATTCTAGCAAATCCACAAATTGCCTTACACCTAAGCCATTTAGTATTCAAGTATAAACGACTGCGGGCATAAAGCAGTAGAAACTGAACTAAATATAACCAGAACTTAGAGAGAAAAAAGAAAATGTAGACCGTTTAGATTCAAGAATTTGGATTTCTCGATAGAAATATTGACATTTTGCAGTAGCCAAGACTCATTCATGTCGCAATGCTTCTTCACAAAATAAGACATACCTGGTTCACTTCTGACATCAAGAAATCGAAATTAGCCCTAGGTAGGGCAAGCTCCAAATAGCATCGAACTAAACGCAGATCTCCAGAATTACCTGCAAACGAGTGGTGTTAAAATAATATCTAGAACAAAGTTGGAAAAGATTTTTACGCTTATTCTGCTAAATAGCAATACTAACATCAAGAAGGTTTTGGTAAAAAGATGTTAAAGTAAAGATATAGAACGAGAACAGACAATTTGAAAAATGGGTAGGCCAATAACCAGCCTTCTACAAAGAATTAAAAACCCACAAATTTGATTGTGACTGTAGACTGTTTTAGAAACATTTATTTTTGGGTTATGTTTTATTTGACTTAAAATCTTTTATAATCTCAATTAAAACTTTTCTCACGTTGTAATCAAAACGATGCTTCCTTACAATTAGAATATTTTTCACATAGTTGGATTAGCAAATTTTTATGTAGCAAGTAGATTTATGCGCCAACTGTAAACATTTTGTAATAATACATATAAAATATTACACAATCATTATTATATTATAACCGTATGTAATAGCAAGCAGAAACCATGTTTCATTGGCATGACAGCTTTTCGAGCATAGATTGAGGAAAGTTGAACTTTATTCATGGAATTAACACAAGGGAAACAAAAAGATTAAACGTAGAATTAATTAGAAGACTAAAAGAAATTAAGCCTACCGTCTAGCCCATGAACACAGATAACAAGGTGGCAGCCATCCGAACTTGCCAGGAGCCTCTCAGTAAAGTATGGTCGAGTAGCAGTTGGGTCAAAGACATCGCTTCAACAAGAGAAAGTTGGTATAAGGAAAGGATCTGTTATTTCGATAGATATTAGAAATATTTCAAGGACGATTTTTATCACTGTCTTTGAAATTTGCGTTTCTGTATTGCTTTGGGATTATAATACATTAAATAAAAAGCTTTGGACCTGATACTCCGTAATACAAAGGTTGTCATCAAAACATTTAGGGCTCTAAATGGGTGTAAAGATACTCAACGGTCTACAACTTAGCAAAGAGCTAATACATGGAAGTGGGACTTAAATATGTGTTGATAATATTACACGCAACTCAGCTCATACACATCTTGTTATCGTCTACTCAAGACCGATTTCAGTCTCAGGACACCAAAAGTAACTGCGCAAGCAAGAAAGTGAAATTGACTCAAAACAATGCAGCAATCGCGTTGGAGGAGCAAAGTAGTTAGCATACACAAATTAGCAACTTAAATAGGTATGTAATGTCCCACACTTTGCAAAAATTTAAACCTGTTGTAACAACTGAACTCAAACTAGAAATCGAAATGGTTTTAATACAAAAAGGGCATGAAAATAGAGATAGCGTTCTCAAAAAGCTGTGCCTAATATGCATGAGCGATGACCAATTAGCTTGAGGCTACAGCCCAGAAGGCTACAGCTCGTTTTGAGCACAAATCTCACCTGTATAGCTGTGTTGGCATATTCAACTCTGTCTTAAGAAGCTGCTTCGCTTTTTCAAACCTAAAACACCAACATTCAAGTATATCAGTAATCATGACAGAAAAACTTTTATTATAATTGTGAAAAGTTAAGAGAACTAAGCTTAAATATTCAATGAACCACAGTTCTCAAACAAGAACGTACTGGATTTAAGATTAACAAGTTTGGTCGTAGGGAATAACGATTTTTTAGCCACCTTTTATTTTAAATATTCCTTCACTTTATGGATAAAGTATCTTTTCGCTGTTTCCCATCTCCGCTCTGTGTTTTTCAAATGTAAGTACTCACTCTTAGATATAATATCATGTCATAAAAACTAGAAGGAGCAAAAAATAACCTCGAAAGTTGTCTTTCAGCCGGCATCCCTCCTGCGTTTCCATTCGGACTTCTTACAACCAATTTATACTGTTTGCTCTTATTCGCTCCTGTTTTGAATGAAGGAAAACATGACAAGAGTCCTGCTCCACGAAGCTCCCCTGGCGAAGTTGGCTCAAATTTCTTCATATCAGGGGCACTGGGAAACTTAGGCCTCTTCAACGACTCTGTGACGTGGTCGCCTGATCCCAGACTCCTAGTCTCAGGGTCGTTCCTGCTTGGCGGGGGTAAGCTCTGTTGTGAGGGCCTCTCTCTCGAAATACTTTTACTATATACCCGGTTTCTGACTTCCGGTGATCCGCCTTCGCTTTTGCCGACCACGCAGAATACCGTCTCGTTGAGCTCACCAGCAGATTCCGCCTTGTCAGCCCAGGCTAATGTGACGTCATCGGGGCTAGTGTTGCTGTGCTGCTGTTTTCCATTCTCTGCAGCCGAAAATGTTTGAAATGAAAACAATGTCTTACGTTGTTAGTTGCAGTTTTAAATGCAATTTTGTTATTCAACAATTCAATGATGATAATATTGTCATGGTAACCACAATGAAGGCTATGTTTTCGATCTGGTTTAGTGTCACTACTTATAGATAAAAGCAGTTCACAAAATAATAATACACCATAGCAATATGTTCATTGATTAAAGTATTTTATACGTATGTGAAAAAGAACGCAACTCAAAAAGTTGAATATATAACATTGATGTGATAAGGCCTCATGCTTAACGATTTTATGGTAATTAAAGGAATTAATAAGCCAGAACTGCTCGCTCCAAATTTCATATAATAAAATCTAAGAAGCGAGCACACATTGAATCATCAGTTTTACCTCTAATTGATTTCCATATGGCAAACAAGTCTACGAAATATAATAATATCCACAGAAACAAATTAACGGAGAAATCGAGTAGGATTCTCACGGATTATGGACTAAATATAAAAAGACGTGTGTAGATTATGAAAGATTACCAGCATATCCTCTTAACATAAAAAAGGATTAGTGCAGATTGGAAAACCGTGTGGTAATATTAAAACAAACCTTCAACGCTAACATCTAGGTCGATGAAATCCTCAAATTGATTCTCCTCGACGCTTAAATGCTGGACTCCATCTAAAATTTTTAAAGAAACTATCTTTAATCAGAAAAAATTTAAAAGACGGTCAATTAAGCAAAGGAGGTATATCAACGATATCAAACTTCTTTTCCTTTTTACACTACCTCCCATATGCATTGCCACTGACAGCCTAATTGCTGGCTGGTCCTAGGTAAGCATTAGGTCCTCATTCAGTCTAGCTGTACTGATGAGCTCTGATATGGGGTGAAACTGGTCTGCAGCCGACTGTTTGAGGTGTCAGTGGTTTCCTTTTCTTAAACTTAAGCACAATTAGTATTTAACGTGTCAAAATAAGTCAGTGGAAAGGACTACAAACTCCAGACATAAAGCTCTAGGATTTCAATAGGATAACCAAAATAAAAACTTATTCCATTTCATTACAGATTACCTTTCTTGGTGATAATCCTTCAGTCAAAGGACTGATTTAAAGGTCGTGGAAAAATATACAAAATATGAATTAGAAGAACTCCAAAAATTGAAATATATCTTAAAGCATTTACATTAGTGAAATATGATATAGGTATAAATAAATTTACAATTTTACGAAAAGCATTAGGAAAAATGATTCCTTATAAACAGATGATCATTTTTTCATTTCTAGTTAACATGTTTCTAGTAGTTTTTAGCTAGTTTTTTGTAGTCGAATTAAATAATTATTATTCCTTAGATTTGACATTTAGTTTTTAGCCTTACTTGTCTCACATCCTGGCAAGAGCAGTAAGCTCCGCACCGACAAAATGAAAATACTTAATGGAGCACAACGAAATTACTTTACAACACTAAAACGATGATACCATGGGGAGAAAATCACGATTACCCTTAAGGCCATTACAGTTAAAAACATGCATCAAGTATGATCTATACGTTATTTGGCGTATAGATCAGGACGGTTTTAAGTTGCTACTCCGAGTTTCACGCTTAATGCGATCATCTGGCAACGCTAAATATGATCTATATAATATTTCAAAGTATTACTTGGGTAACGTATTACTTAAACTAAGGAGAGGGAATTCCCCCGCTCTCTGATATTCCAGGCAGTGCCATAATAGCAGAATAGCTTGAAAAACTTCTCAAATAGGGCTTACAAATTGTAACGCGGTAATAAAAACAGTTTTTTTATTCTTATCTGCTCAGTTATAAAAGAAAAACGAAACTGCGACAAAGCGAAGTTCAAAAATAAATTACTGCTCTGCAAAGTGGCTCTTCCATCTATTCAATGGGCCTGTAATCTTACAAAATTTAGTACAATACGAAACTTCACCATTGAACTGTGCTTTACATTCTATAGTTCCTAGAAGGACACTGAATATAAAGTTTTTATCTCAATATCACGTCGATAGCTGGTTCAGAATATCGCACATGGGTATATTATTGAACCACTTCTGTGCATCCTGTGTGAAATTAGCTGAACTAATCACTGCTTACCAACATGACACAAAATCGAGACGCAACAAATAACCCATCTTTAAAGGAAAAGCTTCTTAATGAATTTCTGACACGTGACGGAAGCCAAAGATGACCTGATTGGTTAATGGGAACCCGATAAGTCACATGATAGGCGACATGAACGCCTATAGGCCTAATCGTTATAATCCTAACTACGATGATTTAATAGTTGCACTTGTTGAGAATAAGATAAGAACCAAACGGATCTATGAACTCACCAGCACTCGTTAAACTTTTCCCAGCAAGAAATCGATCTTCAAATATGATGGGCATCGATGCTGGGTCACCATCAATACTGGCGCATTCGACTTTCAAAGGCAAAAGCATTTGGTAATAGGAAGAAGCCCTTACGAGATTGGCTAATGAAGTGTACTGACTGGTTGTCAAATCAAACGGCGTGCAGAATTCTTCCCAGTCATGATCCTCTACAAAGAATGCCTCAGCTAAATGTTCCACTCGCTGGCGATGGTGCTCTTCTTTCAGCTGCTTAACAAGAAACCCTTCCAAGATAAACTGTTCCAAAAATTGGGTCCAAAGCATCGAAAGTTCCGTACTAAGAAGATACAAATCGTCACCCATTCGCGCGTACAGATCTTCAGCAATCCACATATTTTCGTATTCACTGCTAAGAACATCCAGCTTTGAATTAATATCCGGTTGGCTAACTCGCATTTGGGCGTAGTCAGGAAGAAATGTCATACCATAGTGGAAATACTGCAGCAAGTTAGAATAAGTCTTGAGCAAATTCATGCAGAGTTTCTTGTGTGTCGCAGCGGCAATAGCGTGCTGTTTCTCAGATACCTCTGAATCACTTGTCAAAGACGTGCTTTTGCCGAACAGAGCGCAGTACAAATGCTGCTTCGATGTTGATTTGTTATTCAAAGACGGGTGAAGAGATTTCAAAGGGCCTAGCCATGGCTGGCGCATGGCGACTAAACACGAATGCGCAGTGAATGATACTGCTGCGAGGTTAAAGTAATCAAAGACTAAGTTTCTATGGTAATGAAGACTTTTTAATGACGTCACATGTAGGCGAATGGTTTGGTTACTGACTGGCCTAAGAGATCTCGGGGTTGATGGGCTGAAAATAAGAAAAAATCAATATTACAGTAAGGCTAGCAATAGCAACGGGCTTCCATGAAGAAGCTCGCTATTCAACTCAGTGGAGCCAAATTCTAGATTTCGTATCTTGTCGAGATCTGATAACATCTAGGGGAAAATGACACTTGGCAAAATCGAGTTAACATTTGGACAAGCAAATTGTTTCACAGTTAAAAACCATGTTAACACGAACAGAGATAAATAGACATTGTTGCTCTTATAAGCAAAGCATCTATGAAAAAATTTGGTTAGTACCATTGTAACTCAAGGAGTGTAAGTAAATTTATAATATGGAAACATAGAAAGAATATTGGAAAGAATATTCATCCTCCTTTTTTTAAAAATCAGATCGAGAAATCTTATCAGATGCAAAAATTTTAAAGAAAATTATTATTTGATAGAAAAAAACCGGTGTGTCCTACATCAGTGCTTAGAAGAAAGTCTTCCATTTTTGCATTCTTTTTATTTGATACCTTCGTATCATTGCATGTTTTAACTGTTGGCTAATCGGCATGACCAACGGAGCAAATTTTGGCTGGCGGAAGGCTAAAATGTTTTGTGGACTGTTGCTTCCAGCTTATGACGTTAACACATATATCGATACTTAAGGGAGCAAGATAGAAATCCTTCGCACTTATATTTTTTCAGGAAGAAGCTAAATGCTTTTCAACCTTTTGCTTTGCCAAGAGGGTGATACTCCCTCAATGTTGTTCAGAACAGTCGCTTGAACGTTGGTGAAATAAACCAAAAAAATAATAGGATGAGCCACCTAATAACTAATAAATGTAACAGAGCCATGTGAAACTAGTACATTTTAGGTTCTACGGTTGTTTGCTTCCAAGTTGTTAGAAGAAAGTTTGTTTACGAAAGAGAAACCATTTGTAACTTCAAAAATGTTGCTATCTTTGGCAGCAAAGGATCAGATTTGGCTTATTGGCATAGCAACTGATCTGTTGAGTTTTGACCAAGAAAGGATATGCGATTAATAATATCAATTATAAATACAAAATATAAGTAGAGGATTACCTTCTATTGCAATCAGCGAAAAACATATCAATATCCAAGTCGATTGTTCTTGGGAACTGTTCTTCAACCTTCAATAAAGAGTTTTTCAAAGTTGTAGATTAGATTAACTATTAACAAAGGGAATCGTTTTACTAAGACAAGCCCTTTGGTAATCTGACCCTTTTAACGACGATCAAATCTGGCTAGATAATGCGTAAAATCTTGAGCGTGAACTACAGAAAGGTAGTTTGAATTTTGTAAATGCATTTAAGCAAGGTATCAGTTGACAAAAATTATAGCTTTCAAAAAGCGATACACAGAATGTTTTATGAAAAACTAAAGGAGCATTGCAAGCAAGAAAATCCTAAACCCAGAATTAATTGTGCAAGGAAATATTTCTTGTGGCACATGTTGTCTTTATCTTGTCTTGCATGATAGTGATGTTTTTCTCCAGGAAGCAGAATAGAAATGTCTTGACAGCAGTTGAACAGCAAGATATGGCAAAACACTTTCCTTGTGTCATGATAACCCTAAGTTTTGCTCATGTGGTGAAGTCTAAAGGTGATGTTAAAAACACCTCCATTGAAGGAAAATGTTTAAACCATTTGTTGGTTCTCTGAAAAAACTTGACTTAGGCACAGTGCATCAAGAAAAATTAATTGAACTGAGCACAGCAACTCTTCTAAGTCTTAAATCTTGCAAGATTGCAAGCCCCTTTTCAAATAAGGCTAACTAGTCCTGAATGCAACTGATTACACCTACCTTGCCACTTTCTAGGAGCATGTGAAGTTTGAAAACAAAAACGTCATGCAGAATGACTTCTTCGTGCTTATAATAGACTTCAAACGTACGAGACACTCCTGTTTTTTCATGTTCAACGACAAAAGCTGGGAAGACAGAGCCTGAAGGTACACTGGAGACTAAAAAATCAAAAGAAAAACAAAAAATTACCACTGGCTGACAACCAGCAATATCAGAAAAAGATTCAACATCATGTTTTTCTTGCATAGCCTTACCAGGAAGCCTCTATGGGACCAGTGGCGGCGCATCTACATCTGTGATACATAGAGGTCTGTTAGGAAGTGAGCATACGATGACAAAATTAGAATTATGTTAGATGCTTTGTTGTGTAGGCTGTCTTTTAATCATAGCCTTCAAATTAAAACAGATACTTCGTTCTCTTATTGAATTATTAGCTCTACTTATCAGTATGATCACTTTTTGAAAGATTTGGTTAACACTGATGAACTGAATCCAAGTTATCTAGCAGATGTGATCAGATTTTATTGATAAATAAAACAACATATCTTCTATCCTGTAAAATCCCTCAAATTTGAAAAATGGTGAGCAGTGAAGGGGCTACATTCAATGTGCACACAAAAGGCAAATATTAAGCACTTAGTGTTATCAGTATCTAATTTATCAGACCTACAAGCCACAGCACTAACAAACAATATAGAAACAATTACCATTTTTGTTTTCCCAAAGAGCACATTCAACAGTGGACAAAGACTTTGGTGGAGTCTTCACTGAAAGTCTAAGTTGATAAAATCTAAAAAGGCAAACAAATGAAATATATTTAAGTAACTTTGTCATCCTAATGATCAGAATTCTTCAAAAAGAAAGCAAAAAACCGACTTTTGATCAAACTGTCATAAAACTATCAATTTTGGTTGTCAACATCATTCTTTCCTTCTTTCCATACAACTTTTTTATAACAATGTCACTTGGACATCGCAAAGTCCCTTTGAAAGCCTCCAGCTAGGACTGCTTGGGAAAGTAGCAGACAGTAGATCACACAAAATATTTTGTAAAAAGTTCAGCCTTAGTCATTTAGCTGACAAGAAAATTTAAAATATTTACAAAATGAAGTTAACTGAAAATTATATGTTTAATTTCAATAATATTCATAAACTAACAAACCCCCTCTGAAACAAGTCAATGTTGTGGAACTTTGACAACTCAATGACAACTTCCTGTGTGATCTGGATATCACCCATTTTCTTTACCCAAAGGCTTTTGTTACCGCTTCTTAATCTAGATAAAAAAACAAATAAATGTTATGATTGTGAATATTACATCCAAATTTATTTTCCATTAGAACAAACAATCTGGACCCCATTAAGGTAAATATGTGAGACTAATGTTACATTTCTACACTGGGTAAATGCTACAATTTTCTGGTAACTAATACTTTCATTATGAAAGAAGGCTCCGTTTTTACACCTTCAAATAACCTATTACAACGAGATATTTAGTGGTGACACAAAAACTGGCCTCCAGGTTGGAAACCCCCAGATATGGTTTAGGATGTATGCAGTTTGAGCTTTTAGGTGCAGACTGTGAGTGGGAACAAGAATAGCCTGCAAGCAGATTCTGGCTTTTCCCTTTAAGTAGCAAGAATCTCTTATGATTCAAATGCAGAGATTTGAGCTGCCAGTTTGCACCCCTAAATACAAGTACATGCAACTTTTTAACCTTTCTGACCTAGGATTTAATGGAGTGGAAACTTTGCCTCCAACAATTCTATTTGCCAGGCAGCTTTCAATTAAGATTAGCTTTGCATTGCTTCTAGAGAATATTGGAATGTTGGCAGATTCCAATCACATCACTTGTTTTACGAGAAAGACAGTATACAGATATAGGCCTAGTTGATGCATGGGCTGAGGGGCTGCAGCCCCCCCCCTCCCCTCCCCTAGCAGCCCCCCCTTCCATTTCAGGCCCTATTTGGGCAAAATAAAATATTAGAAAAAAAAAATTAAAATTCTATGATTTTCCTCAGATTTCCCATCCCGTTTCTTGGAGGAACCGGCTTGGTTGTCAAAAACAAGAACAATTTTGAAAAGAGCAAGCCTCAATGAGGCAAATGAGCTGCTGCTCTTCTATTATTATCATTTTTAGTAGGATTTCTAGAAACTTTTCCTTGGCCAGCTTTAATACTTTTGTATGCCCTTTACAGATGAAAAGTTGTGATTTGATCTACTTTATAATTTGACTGTGAAAGGGGGAGGCAAATCAAGGATTCTAGTAAGAACATCTTAGTTTTAATACTTTATCTTGATTTGGGCAGTTCTACCTGAACAAAGTTACAATACTTGAGCAAGATCCATACTAATCCCTCCTAAATGTTTAGCATCCACTACGCCCATGTCCAAAAAAAGTGACAATAAAAGTGTTTTAAAAGTTATGATAATATGGTTCCTAGGGTTGTACGACCTAGTAAAAGCAACAGTTAAGCCACAGGTGTTGCTCTTAAAACATACCAAAACTCTACCCAATATCATAACATGAAGAAATGATAAAAAAATTACCCTAATGTGTAACCAGATGATAATATCATAATACTTTCTTTAGTTGTAGGCATGTGGTAGCGAAAACTTCAATTTATTTCTGCTTTATGGAGCAAATCATTCATGGAAGCAACGGATTTAGGCAAATGTACTTTTGCAACAGCCATTGGACAGGTAGATCATTGGTTTAAGCTGAATTACGTTTATTATTTACCATAAGTATCAACTCTCGTTATGCAAGACAGATTCTTTCATAACAAATCAACGGAGGTGACAAAATTTCAAAGCTGCATTTTTTTTCGAAGCTTCGATTTGTTTTTCTGTTAAAAAACAGGCGTCTTTATTCGGTGCCTTAAAAATGTAATACAGAAAAACTTCGATCTTACACCTGGATATTCTAAAATTTAATGGTATACAAAAGAAATGCGACATTTAAAAAAGGCTATAGTGGGAGACGCTTCGGTATAAATTGACCCCTGAAACAAAAGAGCGACACTAGGCCATAAAATTTGAAAAGTTTTTTACCAAATCAAGTCATATCCTTAATGGGCTGCTTTAGTTGTGATGTAGAACTGTTGTCAATGATTTCTTTAGCTCTGATTTTGCCGAGGTATCTGCGGTTAGTTGGCACGAAAGCTGATTTCCATGAATCACGAAAATCCATACACAGCTTGACTTGGCGAATACCAAATTTCATCCCTCCTCCGCAAGGCTTCCACAACACCACAAACAAGTCAGCAACAGCAACAAAAGGGAAAGTCTAAAATCGTAAAAATTTCTCAATAAATACGATAAATAATTATAATGACATGAATATTTGAATATTTAGCTCAATTAAAGTTCATTAGAAGATTGAAACTTATTTAATGACAGTAGAATTCAAAAAAGGAACGTAAACATAGGACGGAAGGGAAACTGTTAAAAACATCAGTGCTTTGATTGGAAAGATAATAAAAATACACTTATTAAAGTAAAAATAAATCACAAAACGATCTTAATGATTCTCATATAAAATATAATAAACAAAACAGTATAATAAAACCTCTTTCTCGTGCGGGGTGCCTCGCTTTCGACTCTCGAGTTTTACGCATTGAATCATGGGGGATTCTCCTGCATGTTTCTTTTACTACCGTCCGCCATTAAAGTTGCACAGTTTCTGCCTTTTACAAAAGTAAGAACTCCTTCCGTGACTTTAAAATGTATTTAACTGAAATTAATGCGTACTCTTGCGAAGAAGCTTTAAAGATTCACACATTTTTCGAGTTCTGCAGGTTTTACGAGTGTCTCTGAATCAAAATTAAGCCTGAGATAGGCCTAGCGGCCACATTGCCAATGTGCTTTCTTTAGATTGTTCAATGCAAAAGTTCGCAAGTAAGAGTTTCCATCATTCATTATCAACGTATGAATCAAGGAAATCGCTGAGGTTATGTGTCCCTAGACATTAAAAATAAATATTCGCATAAATTTTAGTCAAAATCCATAGATTCGCATAAATTTTCAAAACCTGGAGATTTTAGTTTTTTTCTAAAAGGCGGATATTTGGCTAAAACAGGTAGAATTATTATTGAATTGTTGGATCAAGAATTATTATTATAGAAAATCAATTTATTAAGAAATGCTTGCCTCGAATCTAAACTGGTATTTTCTTTTCAGATATCAAAATGCAAAACGAAGCCAAAGAAAATGTGGATTTATACATCCCAAGGAAATGGTAAAAAGCTATTTGATGTATTATATGGTAGTATCATCTTCCAGTTTGGAGAAAATGCAAAATATGTACATGGAAATATACTGATAAAAATTATAAAATATATATATTTGTTTGTACTTGTTGTGCACTTTTGGTTTTCCTCCACAAATTCCTTTGATATTTTCTTTAAATCTAGATTTTGCACTTCAACTGTACAATGTGTGTAATGGAAGCAAAACTGCACTAAATTTTTTTTTGCAATTTTCATTTTGCACTGTTTGTCTGTTTGTTCATTTTGCATTTTGCATAATTTAGAACTTGCAGACCAGAGATCTCAGTAAGATCAGTCAAATCATCTGCAAACTGAACCATCTCATTGAACAGACAAGTGTTTTTTATAAAATCAGCCTTGTTGCCTTGTATTACAGATCCTGAATAAATCAGCCTTGTTGCCTTGTATTACAGATCTTAGTTCAAGTTCAAGTTCAAGTTTTCATATTTAAAAGTCCACCACATACAAAAGTCTGACAACAATACAACTAAAAACAACAAATGTCTTGTTCTGTCTTGATCTGTCTTGAACAAGGATTCATCAAATTACAGAATATACCTTACAGACATTTTAGGTGCAATTAAGACTATTTTCCTGGGTTCCACCCTAGATTAAGTGATACCAAAAGCAAGATAGCTTAATATTTTCTCAAACCTTGTCTTCACCCCAATACCATTATATGCACTGTTTTTCCAGCTCAGCAACCAATTCAATTATATCAGCTAAGGACCATGCTTCAGTGCAACTGGCCGTTGCTGATGTTGATGAAGAAGGCAGAATGACTGGTGGTTTCAAAACCTATGCATTCTGTGGAACAGTCAGGGGAATGGTAAGTGCAAACAACTTAAATGTAGGCTACAGCTTCTTGTATGTGATATATAAACCAATCAATTTTGCTATTAATGAATCTCTTCATTAAATTCTGAAATTATTACAGATATATATACTTGGTCAATGGTCTAACTGTTATGTTTATTCATAGTTTAAGTGGCTGTTTGTACTTTTTTATTTGATATGACAAGCACAATTGTTTTTCAAATCACTTTCTCAAGAGCAAAAGTCACTTTCCAAGGCAAAAATTTCTTATTTTTCAACTGTCCAAGTCAGAGCCAATTCGAGGAGTATTTTTCTTTAATTTCTTGCTTCGTATTTGCCATTCCATCTTTTGATTTGATTTCTTCTCTTGCTAAAGTATTTTCTTATGTTGACCTGCCATTACTGCTTGAAACAATTTAGGATACATTTACAGGGGACCTATTGTAACAGTTCCAAATAGAACTTTTCTGTATAAGTACAGATAGGCCTTGCATTGCAACAGGCTTGGTTATCCGCTCCATTTGAAAGAGTTCCAGCAGGTCCTGTTGAAAGGCAATGCCTAACCTTACCCATTTTTGAATGGTTTTATTTCCAACTGGTCCAGTGTAAAGGCAACTCAAACCACTGGTCATATTTCCCAACTATGTAAAAAGACCCTAGTAATAAGTAATAATAATGATAAGAAACAACTTAAGAATTAACAAAACAATATTCTTATGTTCTTTACTGAACAACATTGATAACAATGGATTTTTAATGTTTTCTTTCAATTTTTCAATCTAATTTTCTAGGGAGAAGCTGATGACTCATTAGTCAACCTCTGTCTCAATGATGGTCTTCTTGGAAAGTATGTTTGATTCAGCAATGTGTTGTTTTTATGTTGATAGAGAAGTTAGAATGATTTTGAATTTTTATGGTCAAAATGTGTTGCAGGCCTGGCCACAAATATTTTTATCATTATTGAAAAACCATTCAATTATTGATTAAATTAATGGTATATATAATGTGGTATATGTTTGATCCATAAAAAGTAGATGTTTTAATGTTTTTGGAGACCTTATAGCCTTTAAATATAGTATATAGTCTTGTGAATATTCTTGAGGGGTGTATTCAGGCCTCTCTGTTTGAGGCATGTGATTGAGGTGTGTGTGTGCAATCTTACACTCATTATTACCAAGACTGAAGGCAAAAATTAAGTTTTAAACCCAATAGCATGTTGAAATGAAAGCTGTTCCTGCACTCAAGTTTTACAGGATTATACTGCAGTCTGGAAAATGTGAGTGAGGAACCCAACAAGGGCAAAAAACTTGCATATTTTCTCAAATCATGCTCTGCACACATATATTACTGAAACTTTGATTAATATACCAAAATGATTTAAATTTGTTTTAATTGTTGCTATTTTTTATGTTTTAGGAAGTACAACCAATAAAGGAATTGTTGTTTATTAAAATGTGAAAGCAAAATTTGAAGTGTTTTTTAAAGTGTCTCCTTGATATTTAAATTGGATCAACTAACTTTGATAAAAATCTTCTTGTGTTCAAAGAATTTGTTTTAGTTTTCAGGCTTATTACTTGAAAGGACTTGTCTTTTATAGTTTAAGTCAAGATTACCAAATAATGAACTTATTAATATATTTTTCCAACATTGTAATGAAACAACTACACTGTTTCTTATTAAGAGCCTATTCCCTTTCCATATCTTTAATATTTGTACATGGAAGTGACGGAGATGTTAATTTGTGGCAAGCAGGCTACCTCAGAGAAAGTATCTCTCAATGAACCTGATTTTTCTTGGATTAGGCTTTCAAGATTCTTGTTAATTGACTTTTGGGCCAGGTAGAAACAAGTTTACATTTGTAAAACATGTTGTCCATGAAGACATTTAGTTTACAGTAGAATTTTGAGGTGGAAAAGCCCTATTTTGTTTATTGAAACAACTACAGGACTTACAAGAACTTGATTATTGGCAGAAAAATGCTCTGGAGGTTTAGCTGTTGTTTCATTCATTCATATTCTTGTAAGAGATTTCGAAAGAAGATTCCAAAATTTGAGTGCTCAAAATTTCCGTACAATTCCTGAAATGTTTCTTTTAAATAAAGCTAATTTTGATAAAGAAGAAGGCAAAACAGTGACAAATTGAAAAGAATTGATACTTAGTATTGTTTGCAAATCAGTGCAATTACACGAAATACCTGCATTTAAAGATTAATTTTCAGGTGTTGAAGCGATGCCTTTAGAACCAATCTCTTGGCATTCATAAAAAGTCGTTATCAGTGTGTAAGTGCGTTATCAGTCTTCGTCAGTAAATCTTATTATTGGTGACCCTGTACCCTTCTAGTTTGGAAGTCCAAGCTACGCCACTGATGATAAGCCTACAGAAAATGTTATATAGGAATAGGGACTAAAAGCAAAAGCCAGAACCCAAAACACTACAATGATTAGTACACGCATAATCTTTAAAGAAACTGCCGATAAGAAACCGATCATTATAATCACCAAAAATGTAAAAAAACTTTGGCAGGGGTGTCCAACTTATTTTTTGAGTAGGTGATAGACACAATCGTACTCCACATGCTGGCCAGATGAATAATTAAGCAAATCATCGGCAAATCTTGTACTGAACATTTGCTGGATAACAATAACAATTACATGAAAAGTTACAAAAACATTAAATAGTTATCAAGGTGAACTGTTACAATTCTTGTTTGCAGAAAGCTTAATCAAATAACACATTAAACTTGTAGTTGACGTGCGAAGAAAGTCTTGTAAACGTTTCTCTGCACGCTTAGATTCTAGCTTGACTTGTTCTGTTCAGCTTCGTGAAAGAAACTTCTGGTTATAAAATGAAAAAGTACGCCTAGTTAATAGAAACTATGCTAAAGGGTACTTATTCTGACACAATTAATATACAATAGAATAAAATAGGCCCTTGCGACAGATATATTTGGTTCAGCGCCGCTCTGTTATATGTAACGTTAATATGGGAGGGTAGATCCAAAGTAAACTAAATTTTTTCTAGCTGCTTAGGTAATTTTAGGCTTTGCTAACTAAAGTAAAACTAGAGTCAATAAACATTAAGCTACTCTGCTATTGATTTCTTAGGCTCCATTTAAGTGCCCTGGCCCCCAAACCCACCCCACCTCCCCTTCAAAAATGTTTGTTGTCTATGGATCTTCTGCAATCTGAAGAAAAGATAACGGGGTACATTGTTTTCCATACACCGTCCTAGCGTTTGAGAGGCTCAGCTTATATTATTGCGCCATAACAAGTAAGGGATATTTTAATATGGGAAATATTGCATAAGTTAGAGGTTTTCTGGATATTCTCCCACAAATTCAATATGCCTTCTTAATGGCAAAACCGTGTGACAGATGTTCGCCAGGGTCTGCAATAAAATTATGATTTCATTTAGCTACCCTTTTTCTTTTCAAACTTGAATTCAACAAGTCATAGAAGGTCAGGGAACCAAAGTTTATATATTTTGTCAAAAGTTCATGTATTAAAAGAAATAGGATAAAATAACTTTAAAGGAATTTAGTCTTGATTTAACTGCTTGAATAACTGAGACGCGAAAGTTTACTTTTTCCTATTAATCTAACTACTCTATGACATAACGGTATTTCTAGTGACACTATTGGAAAAAAATTTACAGACCCAAAAGTATCAGCCAAAATGTGTTGATTAGACACAAAAATATCAAATTAAAAAGCCTGTTGTTGAGCACATAAGAGACCATTAGTCACAGTAATTTAGACTTTGTCCTATAATACTCAGTTCAAACACGTTCTTTTAGTCATATTTTTGATATTGTTATGTGTTAGATAGAGCCATGGGCTCCCGAATAACTGATTCTAGAGGCTGTTCAAACAGAGGCTAATCCGAAAAGGCTGCTGTAAACAATTTAAAACCCTCCATGATGATAGCTTTCTTTCAAAACTTTTTTATTTTCACAATTTCCTTTGTAAAGAAAGAGCTATTCCGAATATCGATGCTGAGAGAAACGCTGTGAAGATTCTACCTTAGCCTTTCACTATTTTTGGTATCTGTGATTTATGATTCATTATTCACGAAGCGGGCAGATCGAGATTAATGGTTCCTCTTTTTGCTTTGATCTCACTCTTTCCTTTCTTTTGAAAGAAACTCAGTTTTTGTAAGATATGAACAATGTCACCAGCTATTTGATTTTCTCTTGAATTTCTTACCGTATTGTTATGGCTTGCTTATCTAGTAACTTTCATTGGCCTTGAATCAGCTTGAAAGACTTTGTTGTTTACATTACATTACATTACCAATTGTATCATTTCTCCACATTTTCTGATCAAGTTGTTATCATTTATACTGGTCCAGTTTTGAAAATAAAAATTTCACCAGGTAGAACGAATATGTGGTGGAAACAGGACAGGCATGTCTCATTTAGAAGGCCGTGCTGGTGAAAAATTGCAATAAATACAGCTCTTGTCTAAAGTTTCTTTCCAACAGTTCATGAAATAATAAATAACTCTCATCAACTGTGTGTGCACTGGTAGGTCACTTGACCTCACTCTGTCATTAGTGCTTTATATTGTCTCTTGTATAATTTTCTTCTAGTTTTGTACAGCGTATATTCTTTTCATTTCACAAGCAAAACGGCATTTGCTGGTTTATCATATGAAGAATCATAACAGGCTTTATTGCCATGAACAGCCGTCTTTGGGCTGCAATATGCTACAGTCATCCCAATGCCAATGTACGAATCAGGGGTGATGCAGTCATTCTCGTTGTTTGCAAGAATGCCAATACGAACTATACCATGTGCATTGAAACCCTGTAAGTTGCAGCCAGGCTGTAAATGGCTGCCAGAAACTAGACTGAGCCACTTTGAGCGTGCAACTGACGTGCCTACAAGCAAACGAAACAATGGTCGTTACATCTAGCAAGCTTTCGAAGCAAGTTGAAATATGTGCAGTGCCGTTGAGCCTTTTTGTCAGTAGCGGCCTTAATGGTTCCAGGGAACAAAGGCCCCGGACAAACCCAAGAAACAAAGATAAAATGGCAAGGAATAACGGCCCTACATAGGTTTAGGCCCCAGCCGCGCAGTTCCTAAAACTGCTGCTATTTATTGCCAGAGTAAGGTGCCATATAAACTACCTTATTGTTTAGAGAAGCTTGCGCTAAAATTTATTTCGCAAAAACCTGTTGCACTAGTTCAAAACTGTTTCGCACTGAAATGAGTACTCATACAGAAATCAAGCGCATTGCATGATGAAAATTATAAATCTCTACGTGGGAAATCTCACCTTTCAGTCCATGGGCTGAAGGTAGCTTAATCTTTCGTTCAATAACAGGCCTTACTTGGGGCTGGGGAGACTGGATAATTTTGCTCATATCAACAGGCCCTTTGTATACAATGTTTCGACCTTCCTTGCAATTCGACTTTTCTTGCTATTTCAAATGCATTTATCATTAAACCTGACAAGGAAGCTACTAAAACGATACCTGAGAATCCTCCAGCAGCTACGCTTAGAAATGACGTGGCAGATTTTGATATCTTTACATACTGTGATGTTCCTGAGGCTGTAAAGCCAAGACATACTTCATTGAAGGCCATGCGATTAAATGCTTCAAACTTTGCTTCTTCGCCATTTAGACCTCCCGCTAAACCGTAGACTTGGTTGTATACATTGCTTGACGTCCAATAGTTAGCAGTGTAGCCAAAGGTGTTCTAAAACAAATAACAGAAAAATATTAAGTTTGTATACATAGTTACCCACAGAACATCGCCTGCAATAAAGTTGCTTTTGTGTTTTTCATTCTAGGCAGTTTTATTTATGATTTACGCGTCCTCAGTCGACATTTATTTAGGATATAATACTAGCAATAACGGATATTACTACCTTAGTCCCATGTGTTTTCATTAGAAGGGTCCAGCCTGGTCCAGTGCATTCCCCAAGCGTCTCCATGTGACAGTAATGGAAGCCCATTCCTTGCAGTTTATAAATTCCACTTGATGTAAAGCCAGAGTCGTACACATTTTTGCAGCTTGCAAATTCTGTAGAAATAAGTGCAATTCGGATGATTACAGGGGTGGAGCAGATGATAATCTAGCCTGAAAGAAATTAGGCCTGAAAATGCGCTGCAAAGCGAGAACAGCAGTCCGGTTGCTAGTGACGTCACTTTGACCCATTATTGGTGTATTTGAGATCGTCAGATTGTAGAAATGACAAGCTTGAAGGTTTCAGAGGAGGTTGGCATGTTAATTGCAGGGTGGCAACCGAACTAAAACGAGCAAATTCAGGGTCCACTAATCGATATGAAGAAGAGCATGAATGTATCTTTCTTCGAAGCTGTGGTCAGCCGTGGCGCTTCATCCAAGATTGACCAAACCCACCATCTGTCATATATTCTGTCTTTGGAGGCAGTGGCGTAGTGAGAGGAAGCAAGAGGGGGTGAAGCAAGAGGGGGTGAAGGCCCCCCTAATGGGAAAGAAATATATTTGGAAAACTGCTTTTGCTGACGTCCTTAAGAGAATGGACCCTCAATTCTCCCTTGCTCAACTCGCCTTTGCCCTACAACCCCCCCCCCCTCCCCCATCTTAAGGGGAAAAGATAGTAATGTATCGGTACACTATGCCGGTTATATAAGTAGGTTAGCGGGTGGTAGCATGAATATACCAGCAGTGGTTACCAACACATAACGTTGACCTTGGTCGATTCACCATTTACCAGCAGTGGTTACCAGCAGATGTCTATTTATAACTTTTTTTGACAATTTGTTTAAACCTTCTGGTTTCAAAATTCCAAGTGTGCATATTAAATGGGCACAATCATTATAACGGTGCTATAAAGTGCTGAATCGATCTTATCTCTTTGTAATGAATTATATATGAATGAAGATTGCATAATACCCCTCAAATTGTATAATACACTGGGCACCTCTCAAATGTACACAACAGAAATGTGGTTGTATTCTGTACTGATGGCCATTAAAATTTTGCCATTAAAATAATGGAGAATGTACTTAACTAAAACACCATCAAAAACCTCGTTCCATCGTTATTCAAAAGTCGCTTTTTGGTGGCAAAACTATATTTTAGGATAACCGAGTTAATTTTAATTGGCTGCTAAAGTTAATTTGGTGTCAATACTGCCTCTCTTGCTTTCTCTCTTCTCTCGGATCCCAATCCTGCTTTGGAAAAATGAACGCAAATACTGCTTACCCTGGTCTTTTTCGCAATGAACCCCAGTGTGCATGTTGTCACATGTGCACTTGTAACCCAATCCGGAGCAGGTGTCTGTACACTTGGCCCGGTTTCGACATGGAGCTAGAAGTTTGCATGTTGGGCCAACCTACCAAGAAAAGTTTACATAAATTCAAGGCTATTATCAGGGCCGCGGCTATTATTGTCCTATGTTTCCTCCCCAAAAATGGTATAAAAATACTTTGTTTCTAATAAAAAACCTTTCGGAGCGGATACTACAAACCGATATTTGGTTGGAACTATAATTTGTTGTTGTTGTATGCCTATTGTTATACCTAAGAGTTTGTTTATTTGTTTTTTATATTTTTGGACAGCGGGTTTTATAAGGGGGGCCTATACGAGGGGGGGGACTTATAAAAGTATAGAAGCAGTTAAAAAGACAATAATAAAAGACCCCGTATATTTTAGTAAAAAGTTCTTTATGAACATTTAATTAATTATTATTAAAGATATGAATTTTTATGGTAATTCAATAAAATTCCAAAGGAAATCTCAGATGGCAAAAATCAGCTAGTCGAGGGGGCCAATTAAAGGATTTATGTTAGCAGTGGGGGCATATTCGGGTGGGGGGGCACATTGACAATTCTTAGTCCTAGGGTTGGGCTTATTCGAGGGGCTGGGGCTTTTTCGAGGCGGGGGACAATTCGAGGATTTACGGTCATTATATATCATATGAACATTTGATAAGTTTAATACAGCTTTATAGATTTCAAGTCATCCAGATTATGTTTCTGCCTTAAAACCTGCTAATTATTTCTCTTTTCTTTGGCCGTTACTATTTTCTTTCAAAAAGAGGACGTCTACATTCTTCAAAGCTGTCTTTTATCATAACTGAAAATTAGATTCAAACATCAATGAAAACGAAAAATGCGACCAGTACTGGCCTTTGAATTTCACTTTTTGTGTGTGGCAAAAAACTTCTGCAGCATTCTCAGAGATTATGTTACTTCACAGCTATCAATCTAGGCCTACAGCGTTATCAAAAAGACCATTGTTGTGCAGATTAAGGTTCATAGCAAAGAAATGTGTCATCGGCACAAAAGAGCTATAGGCCAAACGTGAAATAGCAATGTCCCTAGATAGGAGTACTATGGTACAACTTTTGTTGTTCGCATGTTCACAGTTAATCAAATGCAAATCTGTAAAAGTTTTTCTTGATACGCAAAAAGAATATGTCAGTTCCAGCCTCTTTTATCAGCCGTTGATATATTTTTCATGAAAAACTTTTTCTAGGCTCATTTGCCTAAGCGCCTTGTTTTCCTAGGTGAAAGTAGTAAGTTACTCTTTACGAGGGGCAAATCACTCTAAGAAAATCTCGTACACCTTTTGTGAAAATCCTATTGTTTTACCTGAAAATCCCCAGAGATCCTTTTGTTTCAGGCAAAATCTTGTACACTATTTGCAAGAGGAATAACCCCCGACTCTTCAGATGTCAACACGATACGCCTGGTTGTAAATAACATTGTAGAAGACGTTTGAGATACAGGACAAAACAGACATCGGAATTTCGTATTTGAAATTTCTTACCAGGTCTTCGAAAAATATGCAACAGTTTTACGAAGAGAAGAAGCTTCATAACAAGGCTAGACACTTCAAATCAGTGCAAGCAAAAGGCAATGAAAGATTTTTGCTAAATTCTCATGAGACAGAAAAGGCTGTCTCTCTCCAAGTATTGGCATCTTTGCTTTTTGGCGCAGTTGATTTTGCTTGACGTGAGCATCTCCCGTCCAATTTACTAGCGCTGCCTACTTTCCCTTTTTCCGGTTAATGCGGAAAATCATAGTTTCTTGGCTATCAACTCAAGTATCCCATCAACATTTGTTCTCAAAAAAATGAAATGGTGTAAAGCAAGATATATAAAATAGCACTGAAAAAGCAAAGCTGTCTTACATTGATTTCGAGGTCATCAGTTGTCAAATAAACCCAGCCTGCCTTTGCAACCAATGCGTTACTCAAACCTCGGCCAACCAGCTCACAATCACCACCATTGCTCTTAAAATTAACTGCCTGGCAGGCTTGAAATGAGAGGCACTCTAAAACGCATTGACGTCTGCTTTGAGAGACTAGTGTCTTTAAAGTGGAACCTGTATCTGCAAAGCCAGCCAGAACTATATTGAAATCTCCATAGAACTTGCAGCTCAATCGTAGAATTTCTGGATGACAAATCTGAAAAACAAACATGGACAGGAGCAATGTGAAGAATTGAAATGAAAGCATCCTTGATATCGTTGAAGACAGTCAATCTTCGCTGAATGCTTCTTCATTCTTTGTTGCTTTCTGTTTCAATCGAATTGCCGATAAAGGGAACTAAACCTACTGTTGTCGAGTTTCATTCAATTAATTGAGTTTCATTCTGGTACCTGTTGAAATGGAATGGGAAATACCAATAGATATGGAAAGATATCGTTGTGATGGGGATTTGATTGAGACGGCAATATAAACATCAGTTTCACGCTAAAGGCAGTCTGTCCCCTCAATGATTGGCTAATATGAACAATAGGTCTTCCCACCTTAACGGATTACGGATTACGATGCTTGCCTTGGCTGGCCTAGCTGCGGTAGTGGACGACATTTGAAACTGCGAGCAAAAAGCTATCGGGAATGGCAAGAACAGGGCCTCCGACGAAGGGGGGGCCGGGGGGCCTTGACCCCCCACTTTTTTGCAAAACAATAGAGTTTTTTCAAAATCTTATGTTATGGGTGTTAAATTTCCCTTGGCCCCCCCCCACTTTTCAACCTTTGTCGGAGCCCATGAAGAAGATTTGATTATTGAAATTTAATGATGATACAGTAAATCCCCACATATAAGAACCAACTTTTTTGAGGTTCAGGCTGAAGTAGGTTCTTATTGGAAAGGTACTTGGATTAATTTCAGGGTATGAAGGTTCTTATTCGAAGGATCCCTTATTTAAAATTTTAGGATTCATTATCAAGAGATGCATTCAACCCTATTTTTTTCCTTTTGGCAACATTAATGCAACATTACAAAGATATTTACAGGAAGACATTTGAGCGCACTGGCTGCCTTATGACAGTGGATGGATCTGGAGATGATCTCATACGTCCTCAGGAATTGAAAATTATGAATTCTAATGCTTTTATTTCATTTTTCAAAATTTTGGATTTTGCTTTATATAATTATGTTAAAAAGTCAAAGTGATTTCACTACAACGGGAACACAGGCATTTTATTCAAAAGCTCTGGAATTAAAGTTGTCTCTGATTGGTTCAAATTGTTTAATTATCGACGAAGCTCAACGGTGCGCGAATTTCACTCCCGTGAAAATAAAGTTGAGCACAATAGGGGACAGACTGTCTTTAAGTAAATTTTAGTCCTTTTGCTAAAGCACATCATTTTACAGTCTGTCCGCTGTGCGCAAACTTGGTAAACAGAAGGAGAAGGCAAGACGGTAGACAGCGGGGCTTTATTTATTCTTTTGGGAATGCAGTTGAAGTGGGTTTACTTGAAGCAAAAATTAAGACTGTTTTAAGTATTTGACACCGTTCCACTTCTAATACACTCTATCTGCCACAAAGCTAATTATCTGGGAAATCTATTGCGAGTTATGGCACTGTATTATTGGGGAACAATTAGAGTTTAGCAATCTTTTTTGTGACAAGTTTTAGTCTTCAACTGCATGCAGCACTCTCCATCGCAGAGGCGCTTGCTCAGGATCGGTTTGCTAGCAACAGAGCCTGAAAACATGCGTTGCTAAGGAGTGCCGAGTAACAACAACAATAAGTTGGGATATTTGGCACTCGCTCATCGCTTCCAGCCCTGACAAAAAGGTTGAGAATTATTAATGAGCTCATAAACATTGAAATCAACTTGTACCTCTATAGAATGTCTTAGGGATAAAACAATACCAGAATACATTAGATTGCTGGCCCATGATTCTTCAGTAAATATTGTTATTCAGTATGCCTGCCTACGTTTTTGTAAAACAAGAGAGAACTTTTTAAAATCTTTGGCAATTGGCCCTCAAGTTGCCCTTGCACCCCCTTTTCCAGGTTGCATCGAAGCCCCTGCCAAACAACTATTTGAAACTGTTGAAAGAAAGTAATTTAATTAATTGCAAAAGGAAGAGAAGAGAGGTAGATGAAAAAGTAAAAGTAAAGATAAGTGCGTAAGTTGAAGAGAAGTGTCGGGGAATATCATTCTTAAATCAACACGTTTATTTTTTATTGTGTATGCTTGTGTTACATAACTACGGAACTATGCAATTTATGTAAAAGCCTCACTTTGAGGCCGAAACAGTAGATTAAGGATCCAGCCAGAATTTCCTGGAAGCAAGCTATTGTAATAGGATTAACTACGTCAATCGTATTCTTAATTTTTATTGGCTTGAGTGGTAGTTAAAATTGATTGTGATTGGCTAAGATAAATTTTAGTTCCTTGTTTGCTTCTTAGTTGCTTCTTGATTTAAGAAAAGTTGGAAATTGAATCGAGAGCTAAGGGTTCGTAGAGAGAGATTTTTTCACGATGTACGTTGAGTTGTGTTGGGCAAAAAATTCAGAAAACATAAATTTTGTCTTTCTCTAAGAGCTTACTCTAATCATTTATTGAACCTGCGTTAACAAGCAGAGATATTCTCTACAAGAAGCTTTACGCTAGAATTATAAGAATTGTTTGTGCAGAGTTCACTACAATACTTTATTTCACATTTGTTAGAAACAAGATCTAGAGTAGTTTCTTTGAAAGAAAAGAAGCACCAGCATGAAAGCATCTATCTAATACGCCAATTTTTGCGTTTTAATCAGCCTCCATCATGTAAAGCCAGCAAAAATCTTAAATAACAAAAGTAAAATAATTTTATTCAGTAAGATATGGCTGTTGTTACACTTATTTATCAGGGCTGCCCCACCAAACAAAACGCTGTATCTTGGTCTTTGGCTCCACTTAACGGAAAAAGACATTTTTTGCAATTTTAATGGCCTTTGCCCTAATCAGATTCTAGCGGAGAAGTCCTTGGGTATCGTGTCGTAGTCTTTTATAGTCTTCGCACATCCAATGTTTTTTGTATATCAAAATAGCAAGAAAATTTGCCATCTTCAATTTTTTTGGTATCATAAGCATTTTTGGATTTTGTATTTGTTTCTACCATGGAGGGGCGAAGCGAAAATTGTCGAGGGGCTCCAGATCCCCAGATATGTGAATAAACATTTGGACTTTGGCTTCCTAATGTGTGACTGTTGGCGACGGTACATCGTGGCAAAACTGCTTCCAATGAAATCCATTCGAGCCATTCTCATCTACTCTTACGATTTTTATGCAGGATTGGATTATGGAGTACATAATGTGGATCAACTTGTTCTATCCCTTTTATCTTCCAAACTTAAAACAATGAAGCAATAGACAGTAAACTGAAAATCTAGACATTTTCGTCATATTAATCGATAAAACAAAAGTTGTGCACTATCCTCCCGAACCTCCCTTTTGCTACGCCCCTGCTGGCTACTAGCTTCCCGAAGTAAATTTTAGGCGTTGATATGTTGTGCTTATTGAGTTCAAACAGGCTTACGCCACTGGTAAGATTCAACAGTCCTTCTTAAAGAATAAATTCAATTATTTTCATTTAAAACGCCACGTAAATTTAACCAAACTTGACACCAAGCTCTAATCCTTTTGATAAGAAAGATATAAAGAATAATCTTCTAATAAACTCTTTTTTAAAAGGACACGAGCCTAAAATTTGGTAAACAATTAGGACAAATTAAGAACAAGTTGAGGCTGATCTACTGTAATATGAAAATCTAAACAATGTTTCTTCGAAAAACGAGGATTTTTGGCCATGTAGTAGGGGTGCTTTTCCAAAGAAAAGGTATCAATGTACGTCATAGACAAAAAAACATTCAGCCCTTACTGAAACATGACTATACACCAGTGCGATTCTGTTAATTTTGTACATTATAATTCGAGAAGCAATTCCAGCAAAAGTTCTAACACGCTTCCGACCACTTGCTCTTACATTGGCTGAGAATACATTCTTAACAACTTTGCAATCGCTTTCCAATTTCCCTTTGTCAATATGGTAACTTTCTGATGTTTGATTATACATGATACATGCCTCCTTCGTGTCTCCTCTACGGAAAATGTTGCAAAAAACAATAGCAAAAGTAGAAATTGGCTTTTTTTTGGCAATAAAAAGGGTGGGTCTAGCGCTACAACCTTGTTTCTGGCATAGTTCTTTTCAAGTGACCATGCTAACAGGAGGCTAGGCCACTTCTCTCTATTCTTTCACACGCCAGCTAAACAATTGAAATATCAAATATTTTGAAACATTGACAATTTCGCAAGTACTTTAATGCTTTTATGTTTCTTCCCCTTCAAAAGATCAAGCCAGGAGCCTTGTCTTTAAAGGGGGGAGTAATGTTATACAACTAGTTTTGTCTGTCGTGCATCGTGTTTGTGGTTCGTTATTGTTAATGAGAATGTCTTTCGATGTTTGCGTCAGTCATTTTGTTTGTCATCGTGCCATCTCTATTTTAGTTGTTATTTTGCATTTGTTGGTTGCCACTAATTTATACTTTCGCTATTGAAGAATCTTCGTTTTTAAAAACATCATTGCACACTGGAGCCTGAGTTATGATCTTTATCTGCCCTGTAAAACACATTATTTTACATTGGTGACCACGACGTGACGAACTCTAAGAAAAAAATGGAAATGATTTCAACAGAAGAATTCAGAGAAATTCTGTTGTATATTGTAACGACCGTTGTATCTCACATGGCCGAAAGGGTGAGGTTGGCGGGGGAGAATGGGAGAAATTTCTTCGTGAATCGAATTAATGTGTATGGTGCTGAAGATGGCCAGCCCATTTCCTATTGTTGTTTGCGGGTTGGTCACGTTGCCAAATATTGTAGGGACAGGAAATTTTCTTTAGCATCCCAGGAGAAGTGTGATCAAAATGAATCTGTGATTGTTGCCTCGGTAGCTGAAGAACGACCTCGGGTTACCTTTATTGGCAATATCAAAAGAAATGAGCCACATTTTCAAGATCTTCAAATTCAAGTCAATAAATTGGAGGAGATTGTCAATCAATTGGAGTCACATAAACTATCACGAGCAATGGTGACGTGACTTCCTTCTTCAAAACCAATGGAAGTTGACGAGGGTTTATTAGCCACAACATATGAAAAATATTTGATTGAGACTAAAAGAAGAGAAGGACCTTCACGTGTACACAATGTTGCTATAGCCTCGGGTAGAGAACCGTATGGACGGAATAAACCCGTACAGGGACATTATTTCTTAGATGGTTCTTGATTTACTCATTTCAGTAAAATTATTTGATTTGATTTTTCGTACTGCCTTATAATACTTTTATGTTTCTTCCCCTTTGAAAGATCAAGCCAGGAGCCTTGTCTTTCAAAGGGGGAGGAATGTTATACAACAAGTTTTGTCTGTCGTGCATCGTGTTCAGTGGTGGCGCCAGAGGGGGGCAGGGGGGCTGCTTAGCCCACCCGTCGAAAGATATACGAAGAAAATCTATAATTTTGTCGGAGCAAGATTTTGCTACCGTTTGTAAACTTTTTAAGAAAAAGAAGGAGTAACAGTTACAATTACAGAATTACCCCTGAGCTTAAATGTACAAACTGGTAACTCCCAAGGAATTTACACACAAGAGACTCAGCAGATTCGGCATTTTCGGTGTTTACTCGGCAATCTCGGCGGTTGCATTAATTAGAAAAACAATGATAGTCGTTGGTATATTTGTTTGTTTTTATTTTCATTTCGATTTGATCCTCTTCAGTCCTTGGCACGTTAATATTTTAACTGTTAAATGGCCAACCGAAGCCAGTGAGAGCCAAACTCCGCATTACAATGTTTCAGGGTTGGGTGCGCGAATGACGAGAATAGCGTTCCGCCTGTGGATATTAATTCTAAAAGTAAGGTTGTATTGTAAAGGTAGAAAAATTGCTTCAATGAGACATTTTCCAGTGAGCTTGAATATTCAAAATTCGAAAATTTCTTTGCCTTCTGCGGCAACCATGGTGCCGCCTCAGGTATTAACTTTCGTGTACTTGTTTATTGCGACATGCGCGTCTGCAAAGCTAGCAAAGACTCGACATACCTAAGTAAAATGGGTCCTTATTCTGTTTAATGGTGAAATGACGTCTTTTTCTTACTAAGGAAAGTTTAGAGCTTTAAGAATATTGAAAAATCACGGAAAAAGAGCTACAAAAAACTTTCTTTATATGTCTTTTCTCTTTTAGGAACATTTTGTTAAAAAAGCGAGTCCCCCCACGAAAATAATATCCCCGCTCTAAAGAGCTGCTTTTTCATGTTTGTTGAATTCATGTTCTGTCATAATCTCAATGTTTGTGCGTCCTTTTCAACTGGGATTCCATGTTTTCACTCCGATTGCCTAGCCCCCCTTGTCGGAAGGTCAAGCCCCTCCGTCGGAGAATTTCTAGCGCCACCACTGATCGTGTTTGTGGTTCGTTATTGTAAATGAGAATGTCTTTCGATGCTTGCGTCAGTCATTTTGTTTGTCATCGTGCCATCTCTATTTTAGTTGTTATTTTGCATTTGTTGGTTGCCACTAATTTAAACTTTCGCTATTGAAGAATCTTCGTTTTTGAAAACGTCATTGCAAACTGGAGCTTTAGTTATGATCTTTATTTGCCCTGTAAAATACGTCATTTTACAATAAATCTAAGGAGCCGATAATAGAGTTTCTTGCTTTTCAAAAGACGTAGGGCCCCTTTCAAAGGAAATTATTTTGCAAAATGCCAAAAAATCCTTTGGAGTAACTGTAGCCAGAGGGGGCAAGTTGTGGTCAAAAATTTAATTTGGGGGGGGGGACAGCCCCCCGTGTCCCCTGTAGCTACGTGGCTGAATAGCTAGCAATTTCGCTGCTTACACTCTATCAATTTAAGAAGAAATTGAGAACAAGCCAGTCTCAGATCTTGAACAACAGTCAACATGAACTTAAATTTACTGGTGCTTTTGAGAATAAAGATTTAATAGAAATCGATCTAGGAACCTCTTGTGCAAAAAGTTGATGCAAAATTTTCGAACATCCCCTATATAGCTTTTTTTGAATTTGCAATTTGCATGCCTGTCGAAAAGTTTTTTAGAGCTTCCTTTAACCGTGTAACCACCATAGAGTTTCCTTACTCTATGGTAACCACAAAGTTTTCCGAGCTCGACAAAATTTTTCCTAGTTGAATGAATTTGCTATGCTTACGCAGTTTGGATATAAATATTTTATGACGTCAACCGTAACTAACAACGGATTCGTCGCTACTTTTCCGGATCCTGCGTGCATTTCATAAGTAAGAAAATGCTTAGAATTTTTGCTCAGAAATTTTCAACTGTTTCTAAGGAACCAAAAACCGTGATTAAATGAAGAGACAATTGAAAATATAGGATCCTAATTACAAAAAAAATTAACAGATAAACAACTCTTGCGAAGGAGCACTGCATTTGGTCACTCCCCAGTTGCAATTTATGTTGGCGAAGGCTTTCGAAACTGACTGACTTCTTACAGCCTAGTTACAAAGTGAAAAACAACGATGTCTGCTGCACCTCCACCTTATCCAGGAACTCAAGGGCCACCACCAGGGGCATATCCACCACCAGGGGCCTATCCACCACCTCAAGATTACAAACCACAAGGTATGGAGTCCCGTTAAACTTTTTGCAGCCTATGTTATCAATTCTGTACGTGCAACTTAGATACCTTTCAACATCGAGATTTTTCAAACTGCATTATGTTTTTGAAGCAAAACCAACATAGATTTCTAAACCACAATCCTTTTCTCGTTAATGATCACAGATTAAGAAGCGAAGAGTAATGATTTCTGTCTGCAAGCTTGCTTCTGTTGCGGATTAGTAACTGCTTTGCCATCTTGAGCCTGCGTGACCATTGCTCACTGACATTGCTAGCCCACGAGACGAACTTTGACGCAATATGTTCTTTTAAAACACCTGGAGTCGTTATCAGTCAGTTTAGCAGTATAAAAAGATTGTAACTTCTTGCTGTATCGTGAAAAGTAACCGCTAAGAGCTGGTTTTTCGTAATTCCCGTTTTAGGCCTGCTCTTTGATTGCTCGAAGAAATCGTCTTTGTTTTAGATCGTTTTTGTTGAAATTTCTCTCGACATTTACTGTCAGCATCGCAAAATATAATATTTGATTATGCTTATACTAAGTGTCGCAGTCTTCTAAAGTTGATAGACGTAGTTTTTTCAAATTGTCGGCACGGGTAGTGTTCTTTTTTGACATTCCAATTTGCAGATATTTAAAAGCCCCAAACTTTCTGTCCTGGTCAATTTCAATTGTTTAATCTTCACATTTGCCAAAATTGGATAACAGAATTGGAATCTTCCTGTTGAAATTAGTTGTTGTTGGTCAGACAGAGAACAATCCTATTTTCAAAGTTAAGCCTTTCCTATACATTAGAAGTTGTAGTGAAATGCCTCAACTGCAGCAGAAAAATCTAGTAAAATCATTAGAAATATCTGAATTTTAGAAAGTAAGTAACTTGCAAACAATCAATCAAAACGACAGGAAGTTTTCAATATTGAATCGTTTTGTGAAATCCGTTTTCTAGAAATATCTGTAGATAGTGAGGTGCAAAATTGATGGTTTTCAACCTGGAACAGAAAATATACTGTAATCTAAAATCATAACATGAAATTAATTCTGTGCCTACTAAAAACTTTAAACAATTGCAAAATCATGGTCTGTGTGTTGTCTATATGCTTTTACAGGTTACATGTTTGGTGTATACGCCATCAATGCAAATAGTGCATAATGTAATATTTAATTAATATTTAATATCTTCTGTTCAAAGTGTAGCGATTATGAATAACAACTAGAAGGTGGTCCAGCAGCTTTTTCTGTTTGGTTTATTAATCAATATAAAATCAGTTATTGTTATTCAAAAACGTAGACTCAATCTGTATAAATATTTATCGATATACGCTTTATTTAAAAATAATCCAAGTTCTGTACTTTTTTATAGCTTTTAGTTCTTTTCAGAGCAATAGTTAGTACCTTAAGTCACTGATTTAAGTTAATATTTTCTACCCCCAGATTTTGGCCTGTTTTTGCCAAGGGTTATTGAGAAAGCACCCTGCAGTCATGTGACTATGAAACTTGCACTTAAATCCTGGCACTTAAATCTTGTAAAGTTCTATGGCTTTCATTTTTTATAAACAGACAAACAGCATATCTAGTTTTTTCAGCTTCAGGTTTTAAGGAAGCCAGCTATTGATTTTCAAAATTTGACATTTTACACAACCAGTTCAGACAGATATGACGTTTGAAATCTTTTATAAACTGTTGCCTGTTTCTCTCGCCATAATTCTTAATTCCTCATGAGTCATTTCTCATTGGAAGTGCCATTGGCAGAAATTTTAATGGTAATAAAGGGTACTTCAAATTGTGCAATTTTGAGAAATTGATGGCCTTTTTTGGTACAGGCAGCACTGTATATCATTCCCACATTTTACAAAATTAGTTGCAATTTTCTTATTAAGATGGGTCTCCTGTGTTATTTTGACACAATGTTTTCAGAAGTTGGAAGTACTTTAGAAGATGCAAGATGAAGGCTCCTTCACAAAATGGCAGGAAACTGCTGTTTTAGGCCATAACCTGAAACTTTGAACGTATCAATTTGATGCTTTTTTCAAAATCATTCGAAATGATTTAGGCTAATCAAGCTTCTAGCATTAGGGAAACAAAAACCTGGTAAATATTTCTTCCAGCTAAGAGGAATTCTGATACAGCTTTTTTAGCAAAAATTGTAACATTACTACATTTATTCAATTATAGGCCATATATCAGTTAATTTTTGGCATGTTTTACTGCCGTTTATAATCAAGGGTGCTAATGAACCCTGGTAGCTTAGATTATTTCATCCAGAACTTCCCAAGCTCCCTGCCACCTGGAAGCTAAGGGTGTTTATGTAAAAGATGAGGAAAAATACTTCTTGAAATTACTGATGATGCCATGCTGAACGATGTTATTGTCGGTTGAATTCTAATGTTTAGGTTTTGGTTTAAGTACACAGCGAAAATTTATTAAATCAAGTATCTCTGCAAATTTTTGCAGTTTATAGTTAATGGTGGCTTACATTTGCTTATGAACCAATTTTGCTGCAGCTTATAATGGAGAATAGCTTTAAAGTAAGGGTTGCTTGTAAGAAAAGGTGACTTGTAATCAAATAAATATGGTATCAGATGTATCTACTTTCCTTTGTCATTGTCATGTTCCTAGTTTCTTTTCCTTGTTTTATTTTTTCAGTATATCTAGATTATTTTAGAATTGTTTGTTCTAGAACCTGGGTACCCCCCTCAACCAGTTGGCACAACATACAGCTCAGGAGCTGCAACAACAACAACAACTGTTGTTATGCAACCTGCAACAACTGTGATTCATGCAATTGGAAGCTTTGGTCCTTACCCAGCCAATATCGCATGCCCAAGCTGTCGTGCTCACATTGTGACATCTATATCATACTCAGATGGTCTTATGGTGTGGCTTGTTGCTGGGGGTCTGTGCATAGTTGGGTGAGTTTATTGCCTTAACAGTGGGGTGTAGTCCTATAAGACAAACAGGTGGTCCTTCCAGAAACTATCACAAGAAGATCACAAGGAATAGCAAAGGTCCCACTTTCATATTACTATTTTAAAACCCTCAAGCTCCCTGACTCATCAAACACCTTGTCCAGTTCATTGGATGGAGTGCTTGACACTACCACAAGGCACATCAGCCTTTAAATTATTTCTCTTTATTAATGTTTATTTTCTTTATAAAATGTGGTTTTCAACTACAGCAACTAACTTGGGTATGCTTTTTTACAAGCTTTTGAGGAGTTATGGCATATGATGGAAATCTAAGCCATAAACCTAGACCATATTACCATTAAAGCTCAATTTAGCCCCCCTCTAAATTATGCCCCTATCCAATAGACCCCCCCAATAAAAAATTTATATTAAGCCCCTCATTTTAGCCCCCCCTCATTTTGGCCCCCCCTCATTTTAGCCCCCCCCCTCATTTTAGCCCCCCTTGATTTTGTACACCAGAAATAAAATGAAGTAAGAAATGGGATTTTGGAAGAAGATGATGATGGGTCATTCCATGCCAAAGTGGGACAAAAAAATTAGATTTGTAATGCACCCTCTCAGATTTTTCTGATACTCCTGTCAAATGCTAAGTATCTTGAGAGGAAAATAACCTGAAAATTTCAAGTTGATATCTTAACTCATTCAGATATTATAGTTATTTTAATTTTTGCTGATTCAGCATAATATTATCCACATATCCGCCATTTTAAATGTGCGGGGAAAGTAAACTTTGAGAAATTTTGATAAAGCAGATGGAAATCACCAATAAAAATATCACTTTTGGATAAATTAGGGGCAAGGAATTCAAAAATTGCATTAAAAATTCACTAAATCCATTAGAAAACAGAGTAAATTATACTAGAATATAATTTCTTATACTCACAAATCGCTTTTACCATCCATCAAACTATGAAAAAATTCACCATGTTGGAAGAATGTGACAAATTTCAAATTGTGCATCCAAGAAGTACACAGGACAGACTTTAAATTTACAAAGAACCAGCAAAAGGTTTTTCTTGGTTTCTGAGATATGCACCTTGCAAATCTGTGAGAAATTCATGAAAATTTGGTATTTTTCTCAGTTGTTTAAAGCCATCTATATAGCAAATACGCTGCATGTTGTTGGAATTGGTGTTTTACTAATAGGTGTGGCTCTTTCTCTGCAGTATCTCTCTTGATAGATGGTTCAAGAGTACTTCTTGAAGGGATGTTTTTAGGCAAAGAGACCATTGAAATTTTGAAACTGTATATTCAAAACATTTTTTCCGCTGTACTTTATGCTACTAAAGGTTAGATAAATTGATATTCAAGCAAATTGTCATTTCTCGTTATTTAGTTATAAAATTGTTTATGTATGTAGCTATATACTCACAAGCAGTTCTACATCCTTTGAAGACATCTGTCAATCCTATCTCTATCTTTGCCATCAAGAATATACTGCCTACCGGTATGAGTTGAAAGTGTTGGTGGCTCGATTTTGAACAATATCTTTGTTTTCGGTACCCAGCATGTATCATCTCTTTTTGGCCACTTCAAAGAAGTGGATGGGAGGCTGGGATGCATGAATTTTACATTGACATCATGCATATCATCGTCTACCTCTATCAACATTCCTGCCCAGTAGAGTTTGTCGTAATTGCAAACCACAAACTGGCCAACTCTAGCCTCGACACCTTCCAGTTGCTCCTCTCCAAAACTGAATCGAAGAGCAAAATCCACTTCCTCAGAAACTCTTTTGGTGCCAATAATAGATGAGCTTATTGGTATAAATTGGTGGAAGCTTCTTGTGCCAGGAACTGTCTTTGCTTGACTGAGACGCTCTCTTATATTCTCTCGTGTGGATTGAATTTCCTCTATTGGAATATATTTAAATTCAATTCCACTTATTTTTTCTTGGCAATAGAGGAACATTGCCTCTGCTGATAAAATTTGGTCATTTGAAGGCCTTTGCAAGCTTGCCATGGCAACAAGCTTCTTCACTGTGCCACCGATTCCGTCACATGGTGACTTACCATGGCTGGTGGCAAAGAAATTCCACTCACATTCAATGGAAAAGTCTTCTTGATGGTGGCACAGGTTAATGAAGTTCTTGCAGTTCTTGTACTGGCCTGCGCAACCGTCTGAAAAATAGCTGATCTTCTTTATTTGGCTTGAGAGCTGCTTTATATGAGCAACAGTTTCAAAAATAACTTTGTACACAAAATTTACATCATGGTCCAAATCGTTTGATATGAAACAGAGGGATTGGACAGAAAATTGAGCAGCATCTTCAAATTTGTGGTAAAGAACTATTGCTGTTGATTCCAATGGTACCCTTGAACCTCATCCTGTATTACAAACTTGTAATTCTTTGAAAAATCCCCCAAAACAATCACTTCTTCAGCACACAACGACTCTTTTTTGGCATTTAAATATGCTGCTTGTGAAGGTGCTATATATGAGTGAGCTGTTACTTTATCCAACTTTTCACAAAGAATTGAAATAAATTCACTTGCAGAAACAGTTTGGGAAGTCAGCATAGAGCGATCTGTTTTTGTCGATTGATTGAATTCAATACTTATTTCATCCAAGTCATTGTCTTCATCATCTGTAGACGTTTCAGATTCATCACAATAGTTAACTGCGCCAATTTCATCTGACAACGGCATCTTTCCTGGGTCAACTCTTTGGAGTTCCCTTTTTAGATATGCTTCAACTGATTCTATGCCTGGACAGGAGGCACACCTATGAATCATGCATACCTTTGATTATTGGTTACAAACAATCATGTCTGTAAGTTCATGATAACTTTTGTCTATACTGATAGCATCTAACATCAGTTTTAAATTTTGATGGATTGTGCAGACACACACTGAATGAGTACCTTTGGGGCCAACTGAAATGCACCATTTGGGACGTAGGCTGGCAAACTTTGAAAACCCGATCTTTAAGTTAGGATTTTTAGTTTTAAATAATTCATATAGTTCTTTCAAACTGCACAATTTCAAACGCTTTGCCACATATTGCTTCTTTCCGATGCTTGAGCAATCTTTCTTGCCAGGTAGCTGACAAGTATAATCATCATTGCAATAAAATTCTTTAACTGCCGTAACGATGTCGTCGTTCAACTTCTTTGCTTTACAGGCTGAAGGAAGTTCTATAATTCCCTTTTCATCTCTGAGGCGGATAGCTTTTTGGATAGTACTTTTGGAAACTTTGAATTCTGTTGCTGCTTTTCTGAGTCCCCAAGACTTTGGAGTCAGTGTCAAAATTTGAATCTTTTGCCTTCTAGTTGACACATTCAGCTTTTCTTTCATGAGAGAAACCAGGTAATCCAGGTCCCTTGATTTTTGCTCTGTTTCCTTTGCCGCTAATCGGTACATGCTTTTTTTATAAGGAACCACTTTATAAGGAACCTACATGTGTAAGGCCGAAATATTTAAAGAACTTTTCGATTTGCAAAATTTTTCTAACTGCAAGCATCAAGAACTAAAAAGCCGGTTCCATTCATTTGCAGCCAATAATCACAGAGATTGTTTGCTATTCGTGTGTCAAGTGCTTTGTCGAGTAGTTTCCGCATATGCTGTCTCGCCCCTCTCCATTAAGTGTTAAGGCTTATTGATATGCAGTAAAAATTAAGGAACTTTTAAGGAACTTTTGGTAATAAAATCTGATGATTTGAAGTATACGAATAAGGAACTTTTGGAACTAGGCCTTGAGGTAGGTTCCTTATAAAAAAAGCGTGTACTTCAAAACTTAAAACAAATCTGCACAATAACATGTCATGATGTTAGCTTTTGGCAGATAATAATTTTGAAATAAATTACATCCCTAGAAAATTTTACCTTGAAATATGCATTTTAGGAATTGCCGAATTTTTGCATGGGTTTTTCGGATTTTTTTCAAAATTTTGAACGTTTTTGTAGGTCTTCGCACTCCCTAAGCATGTATAAAAGTAAATTTGAACCATTGAAAATGGGTTGTATTGATGGGAAAGATATATTCAATTATAAACACCATATATTATAATAGTTAAATTCTATTTGTAAAACACCAATTCCAATAACATACAGTTTATTTGCAATATAGATGGCTTTAAACAACTGAGAAAAATACCAAATTTTCACGAATTTCTCACAAATTTGCAAAGTGCATATCTTAGAAACCAAGAAAAACCTTTTGCTGGTTCTTTGTAAATTTAAAGTCTGTCCTGTGTACTTCTTGGATGCACAATTTGAAATTTGTCACATTCTTCCAACATGGTGAATGTTTTCATAGTTTGGTGGATGGTAAAAGCGATTTGCAAGTATAAGAAATTATATTCTGGTATAATTTACTCTGTTTTCTAATGGATTTAGTGCATTTCTGTTGCAATTTTTGAATTCCTTGCCCCTAATTTATTCAAAAATGATATCTTAATTAATGATTTCCATATACTTTATGAAAATTTCTCAAAGTTTACTTTCTCTGCACATTCAAAATGGCGGATATGTGGATAATATTATGCTGAATCAGCAAAAATTAAAATAACTATAATATCTGAATGAGCAAAGATATCAACTTGAAATTTTCAGGTTATTTTCCTCTTAAAATGCTTAGTATCTGATAGGAGTATCAGGAAAATTTGAGAGGGTGCATTACATGACTGTCCCTCATTGGCATGGAATGACCCTGATGGCGATGGTGCTAATTCTGAAAAAAGCGCAAATGCTTGATAGAGGACAAATTTATGATATACTAGTGATGGAGAGGACAGAGTTATGATATGAGATTAAAGTAGATATATTGTCTGATTATCGCATTGAGCATGAAATTCAGAGAAGCAACTAAGAACCTTCCTGTTCTGCACACCAAATATTGGGGGCTCTTAGTTATCAATGCAGGGTGACCCAAACTGTGTAAAGCCACTGCCAACTGTTATGACTGCAATGATATTTTGACAGCCTAGTAAATTTTGCTACATGAAACTTTTTCTTGTTGATGTTTGAAGCTTGTTCTAATCCCAGTGCAATTCATTTACCTACAAAGATTAAAGTTAATAAAATCATAATAAATTTCATTTTAGACTTTGGCTTGGATGCTGTTTAATTCCATTCTGCATCAATGACCTCAAAGATGTGACCCACAGTTGCCCCAGCTGTGGATCGGTTGTTGGTCATTACAAAAGAATTTGAACATTTGGAATAAAGTTAACCATGCTTGCATGTAGCCGGTAGCTTATAGCTGTATATTTTTATGACACTAATTATACCACTTTATTAATCTTGCTTTCTTTTCCAAGGCCAGATGCTTTTCTTTTTGAAAATCAACACATGCACACATCATACGTCAGTGCCCCACAGATATGAAGCAATATATTATAGCTAATATGTTGTCCTACTTGTACAATATCCATTGTCTGACTTTTTTATTTGATAATTTATTCCATCCTTGTCTCTCACTTAATTAACCCAGTCTTTCTGATCCAATATAGCAACATTTGATTAACTTTCTAATCAAGTTAAGCAACATTTGCCTTTTACTTTGCTTTTTAGTTTGCAGTTGTATTCTAATAAATATCATTACATTTGTCATTGATGTTCAGTATTGTAAGGGATTCTTGTCATCTGCCAAGTCTGTATTACTTGTTTTGTAATTTGAATTTCACTGTCTGTAAACACAGTATGAGGTTTTGGATTAACCATACCGCCATCTTGTTTTTGTCTTTTGATTGACAGGTTAGTTCAACCAATAAGATCTATTTTATTCGTTGATTGGAAATAATTGGAATCATCTGAGTATCCACAGATGGTGATTTTCCAGGTTTTAGTGATACAGACTGCCATAATGTCACAAGAATTGAAATGTATACCGTTTATGTATCCATTGTTTGGTATTCTTGTGTTATACTCTCAACCTCTTAAAACAAAAACAACTGTTTATTTGTCAGTTTTTTGGTCAGTTCTGTCTGTTTAAATATTTCATTGAAGTTTGGACCCATGTTTCACTAACTTGATTTTTTGTACCAATTCATGTTTCACTAACTTGATTTTTCGTACCAATTCATGTTTCACTAACTTGATTTTTCGTACCAATTCATCCAAGCCAAATATCTTGCAAAATGACTTTTCAGAAACTTTTAAATTAGGAGCTTTTCATTGCTTTGGGAAAAGATGATAATTTTTTAAAAGAAATGTTAAACACTAATTTCATCCTTGCCTATTTCATCCAGAATCAATGCGAGGCTATTGGCACCTCATAAGAAGCCTCTGCTCACCATCTTCATTCTGCTCCTGCGCAGCTTTAGGAAGAATCAAAGCCCACAGCATGCTTTTCTTCGGCTTTTTGTAAGATGTAAAAAGAGTTAGACAGTGAAAACGCTGAATCCCAATAAAGAAACCAAAAAACATTTCATAATATGAATTTGCATCAATGTAAAAGATCTGACAAATCACAGAAGCAGCGCTTTAACTATCTGTCTAAGGAAGTAAAAACAAACAGTGGTATAAATAATGAATGGATGATAGGAAAAACTTGAAAATTCACTCTACAATGAATGAGGCAATAACATTAACACGACAAAAAAAACAATGCGATGCACGGGTAAAAGAAAGGAATTGCATGCTTAAGGAAATATAAATGTTTCGCAAGCCTAATCTTATGCGTTTTAATCCCGAAACTGTAACTGAAAAACTAAATTTTTGAAACTGAAGATCACCTTAAACAGAGCGAAGACATATTTCAAGCATTTATATTGTTAATATAAAATTTACAATTGCAAGTTTTGGAAGGAAAAATGTTAAGACTAAACTTAGTTATTGTGATAAGACTATATCCTTACAAACTTTTGCGGAAATCTGTAACTGAAAAACTGAGATTTTAAAGCACAAAATCGCTCACAATAGAGCCAAGATATAATTGAAGCATTTAAATTGATAATAGGGAAAATCGATAACAAGGTTTTGGAAGGAAAAAGTATCGGTCCAAAATTTGTTATTTTGGTAAGCCTATAGCTTTAATAATTTTGCGGGAGTCTGTAGCCGAAAAGAATGAATATTTAAAGCAGAAAATCGCTTTCAATAAAGACAAGAAATAATTCAGGCATTTATATATAAATGGCTTTGAAAAAAGCAAACATTTAGTAAACTAAAGCTTTTCGTCTGACACTCTTTAGAGTTTAAAACGTCAGAACATAGATCAAAAACTCTACGCTAAGAAATATATATACCCAGTTGTGGATCGAAATAGGCCAATCAGAAACACGAGCACATGACTGTAAAGGTTGACCAATCAGTGCCGCTTGCCTATTAGAATGTTACCAGTGGAGTCCTAAGGTGAAAACGAACTCCTTTTGTCTGCACAATAGCGGTTTTATCGTGCTTATGTAGATAGATTCCAAAACTGCTAGGTGGAACGACGATCGGGCTTTACGAATAATCCGAAACATGTCGCCATTATAGTTTTTTGCACAATCTGGGTTTTCTAGCAAATGCTGCCCGATAGCAGAATCGCAGGTTTTAGTAGTAATTTTGGATTTGCACGACCGAGGTGGCTGTTCTCTTTGGGGATGTGTTTTGTTTCTAATATTAGATGGAACGTGTTGTTTTATCCTATCCTCCAACCTGCGATTCTGCTATCGGGCAGCACTTGCTAGAAAACCCAGATTGTGCAAAAAACTATAATGGCGACATGTTTCGGATTATTGGTAAAGCCCGATCGTCGTTCCACCTAGCAGTTTAAGAATCTATCTACATAAGCACGAAAAAACCGCTACTGTGTAGACAAAAGGAGTTCGTTTTCACTTTAGGACTCCATTGGTAAAATTCTAATAGGCAAGCGGCACTGATTGGTCAACCTTTACAGTCATGTGCTCGTGTTTCTGATTGGCCTATTTAGATCCACAACTGAGTATATATATTTCCTAGCGTAGAGTTTTCGATCTATGTTCTGACGTTTTAAACTCTGAAGAGTGTCAGACGAAAAGCTTTAGTTTACTAAATGTTTGCTTTTTTCAAAGCCATTTACAAGTTGTGTACCACCAAAAGCATTTATATATCTTAGAAAGAATAGAGAAAAGAAAGTTTTGACAAAACAATACGGTCAAAATTCGAACATTTTCCTAAGCCTAGAGGTTTATTTTTTTCCAGAAATCCATAACAGAAAAAACCTGCATTTTTAGAGCAGAAAATAAATTTCAAAATAGCCAAGACGTATTTCAAGCATTTAAATTCTTACTTAGGAATCAAGAAAAATAACTTTTCGAAGGAAAAACATTCGGTCACAATTTAAATAATCTTGGTAAGCCTCTAGCCTTGCTTTTTTGCAGAAATCGGTAACTGAAAAAACTTCATTTTTAGAGCAGAAAATCAATTTCAATGAAGTAAAGACATATTTCAACATATATTTCTTACTTGGGAATAGAAAAAAGCAGTTTCTTGGCAGAAAACATTTTGGTCAAAATTGAGAACTTTTTATAACTTATAGCCTTGCTATTTTGTAGAAATCTATGACCAAAAAAGCTGCATTATTGGAGCAAAAATCACTTTCAGTGGAGCAAAGACATATTTTAATCATTTATATCCTTATGTAGGAAGAAAGGAAACCATTTTTTAGAAGGAAAAATGTAGAAAATCCGATCAAATTTTTGGCATTTTGGTAAGCCTATAGCATTGCTTTTTTTGCAAAAATCTCTAACTCAAAAAGCTGTATTTTTAGACAAAAAAAATTTCAATTGCGCCAAGAAGGAAAGAAAGAAAAGGAACTTTTTAAAGGAAAAAAAATCGATCAAATTTTTGGCATTTCGGAAAGCCTATAGCCTTGCTTTTTTGCAGAATTTTTATCCAAAAAGCCAAATTTTTAAAGTAGAAAATCATTTTCAATGGATCCAAGAAAAATTTCAAGAATTTATAATCTCACTTAAGAATAAAGAAAAGCAACTTTTTCGAGGGAAAGTTTCCGCCAAATTTTTTGCATTTTAGTAAGCCTATAGCTTTGCTTTTTTTCAGAAAACTGTAACTGAGAAAAATGTATTTCTAGAAAATCGATTTCAATGGAGCAAAGTCATACTTTAATAAATTATATTCTTACATAGGGATAGAGAAAAGCATTTTTGTAAGGAAGTCACTTTGTGTATTTTGGTAAGTTTATAGTCTTGCTTTTATTGCAGAAATATCTATCTAAAGAAACTGTATTTTAGAGCAAAATATCAATTTCAATCGAACTAAGACATATTTCAATAAATAATATTCTTACTTAGGGATAAAGAAAAGCGATTTTAAAAGGAAAAATTTCAATCGAAATTTTGGCATTTCGGTAAGCCTATAGCCTTGCTTTTTTGCAAAAATCTTTATTAAAAAAAGCTGCATTTTTAGAGCAAAAAATCACTTTCAGGGGAGCAAAAACATATTTCAAATGTTTATTTTTTATCTAGGGACAAAGAAATGCAACTTTTGAAAGGAAAAAATTAGATCAAATTTTTGGCATTTCGGTAAGCCTATAGCCTTGCTTTTTTGCAGAAATCTTTACTCAAAAAGCTGCATTTTTAGAGCAAAAAATCACTTTCAGGGGAGCAAAAACATGTTTCAAATGTTTATTTTTTTATCTAGGGACAAAGAAATGCAACTTTTGAAAGGAAAAAGTTCGATCAAATTTTTAGCATTTCGGTAAGGCTATAGCCTTGCTTTTTTGCAGATATCTTTATTAAAAAAGCTGCATTTTTAGAGCAAAAAATCACTTTCAGGGGAGCAAAAACATATTTCAAATGTTTATTTTTTTATCTAGGGACAAAGAAATGCAACTTTTGAAAGGAAAAAGTTCGATCAAATTTTTAGCATTTCGGTAAGCCTATAGCCTTGCTTTTTTGCAGATATCTTTATTAAAAAAAGCTGCATTTTTAGAGCAAAAAATCACTTTCAGGGGAGCAAAAACATATTTCAAATGTTTATTTTTTTATCTAGGGACAAAGAAATGCAACTTTTGAAAAAAAACTCGATCAAATTTTTAGCATTTCGGTAAGCCTATAGCTTTGCTTTTTTGCAGAAATCTTTACCCAAAAAGCTGCATTTTTAGAGCAAAAAATCACTTTCAGGGGAGCAAAAACATGTTTCAAATGTTTATTTTTTTATCTAGGGACAAAGAAATGCAACTTTTGAAAGGAAAAAGTTCGATCAAATTTTTGGCATTTCGGTAAGGCTATAGCTTTGCTTTTTTGCAGAAATCTTTACCCAAAAAGCTGCATTTTTAGAGCAAAAAATCACTTTCAGGGGAGCAAAAACATATTTCAAATGTTTATTTTTTAATCTAGGGACAAAGAAATGCAACTTTTGAAAAAAAAACTCGATCAAATTTTTAGCATTTCGGTAAGCCTATAGCTTTGCTTTTTTGCAGAAATCTTTTCCCAAAAAGCTGCATTTTTAGAGCAAAAAATCACTTTCAGGGGAGCAAAAACATATTTCAAATGTCTATTTTTGTATCTAGGGACAAAGAAATGCAACTTTTGAAAGGAAAAAATTCGATCAAATTTTTGGCATTTCGGTAAGTCTATAGCCTTGCCTTTTGTTGAATATTTGACTATCTTGCAGACACCACTACAAGGCACGAACTGTAGAGGCTTATATCTGTAAGTAGTATACGGGGTTCGGCGTAATATGACCAAAGACGTCCAACATTAAAAACGAGGTTATAGTTAGTGTGATTAGATATATCGTAAAATAAACCAATTGAGTGACTTACACAAATCGATAGTATAATGTATTATTCGTAATCGCTATAAAAAACCGTTCGTTTGAGTTCAAATGCGGCCACAACTCCCTGCGTGACCGCTCCGTGTATCTTCGACTCTTGACTCCTTCCTCTCGACTCCTTCCTCTCGACTCAACACAGGGGTC